CACCTAGACGAGGCCCTACACCCAGGCCTGCTGCCTGTGGCTACCTGCAGTCACTTTCTAGAGCCTCAGGAGTGCTTTTCCTGGGATGGATAAAACTTCAGAGGTGGATAAAACTTATGGGATGGGAAGGGGCTGTTTTGTTGCTTTTACCAATTTCTATAGTGTGAACTCCTGCTATGGCCGGTTTTCAGATGTCAACGCGTGAGGTTTCGAAGCGCAAAGCTAAGCTGTGCATGCTGACTCACAGGAGACCGAATGTGCTGATTTTGAGCAGTTGTCGATTTTCTAAAACCCCCGGGCATCCCCCAGAGCTCTACCAGTTCTGAGCTGTTCTGAACTTTACCAGCTGTGAATCTCTGGCAAACCACACCAGAGATTCTTCATCCATAGACCAGGGTTTATTGTGTCAATTATGAAGCATGGTTTGACAGCATCTTCCCAGGATCCAGATGCTCTATCTAGAAATTGGCCTCAGTCCTCCCTATCAGTGTTCCCCATGTTGGGGTCTCTAGACACGGCCAGCTGTCTCTTGAAAGTAAAGACAGCCCAGAGTATGACTGGTATTGTAAACAACTCAAGGTCCTTGGAGAGTCTGAGATACCCAGTTTTTGTCCTGGTAGACACAGGCAGGCAGTAGGAGATGTGGAGCAGGATTCAGACCACAGCTTCTGGAAGCCCAACAATCAGGCAGTGTCATAATATGGCTTGGGTGACTTTGAATTCAGAGCACACTGTGACTGCACTGGCTCTGCCTAGGACCAGGACCAGATTTGAAGAGGCGCTAAGTAGACAGAGCTTTCCATACTCAATGACCTCCTGATTCCAGCATGGAAAACAGAGTTCACAGAGGCCAGGTTCAAAGCCAGGCAGGCAGTGGAGAGTTCAAAGCCCAAAAAATAACAGACTAAGAGATGCAAGTCAGGTTAGGCACTGTGGTACAATCTTTAATCCCAGGATTTGGGAGGTAGAAGCAGGAGGATCTCTGTGAGTTTGAGGCTGTCTTGGTCTATAGAGTGGTGAGCTCCAGAACAGCCAGGACTACATGAAGAGACCCTGTCTCAAGCAAACAAATAAGAAAAGCCCAGGTGCTGCCTAAGGTCATAGGGTACCTTAGACAAGTTGTTTAACGCCCGGTGAATGGATGAAGGAAGCCCAACTTTTTCCAAACACAATGAAATCTTTATTTTAGCTTTTTCTTTTAACTTGATTGCACGGTGCTGCAGCATGGACTCTTCTGATGACAACGTTGTGATCAGGTTTGGACGCTCATATTGCATGTCAGTGAGAAGGGGTGAGCCTGCCACTCCCACCTCACGCTTGTCCCAAGAGCTGATATAATGTCACAGTTGATTTGTAGAATAATTGGTGATGATTTATAGAATAACTAGTGATTTGATGAGTGAATGAAGGGCCCTGAGAACATGGCAAATGTTGGTTGAATAAGTGAGTGAATAAATGAATGAATGACTGAATGGCCCCTCCTACCACAGGCTTTTCTCAGACTCCTCACATCCATCAGGGCTCTCTGGCTGTTCTCCAGCTCTCTCACATAGGATAATCTAACTTCTCAGCAGGAGGAAATGAGCCGTTCATCTCTTTGTCACCAGAGCTCAGCATCAGGCCTTTAGATAACACATGGGGTGGTTGCCGTTTGATGCAGTTTTCCTTCCTCAAAGGACATGCCTGTGTGTTCTTCATCTTTATATAGCTGTCGCCTGGTACAGAAGTTATGAAGAAAGCCCACTTAGAATTCTGGCTGTCACAGGGTCTGCTCATGTTTGTCTGTTTAAAAGAGGCAAAACTGCCTCCCTCAAAGAGGCCACAGTGGCGGGTGACAGGTACGAGGAAGAAGGTCTTACACAGAAGGCTTCTATTCTCGCTGTCTACTGTAGACTGTCTCTGGGCATCCTGTTGCAACTCACTCCATCCTAGGTGATCTGGGTCTATCTGCATCATTTCCCTTCTGTTCTGTGACCTGCAGCAGGCACAGGTGGCTTCCTCCTTCTCCAGATGGGGTGATGTGGACAGTTGCTCACAGAGTTCCCTCCCCCATCATGAGAGATGGAGCATTTTGTTAAAATGGTCCCCGATGAGGAACCAGGAGGCTGGGTTCTGTTTACATCCTCGCTCAACCTCCTAGGCCCTTCAGTCCCTAGTCTGTCTAAAGTGGAACCGATGATGCTTTGAAGTGGCTGTTTGAGTGCCGGGCCAGAAAGATGGACCAGTCGTGAGTCACATGACTGACTGAGCACAGACACGTGGCGTGACAGCACTACCACTCTTTGCAGACGTGTTAGGTGGCCATCACTGTTAATTGAACACAGCACTGGGGAAGAGCCCTGCTATGAAATTCAGGGGTCCCTGCTGCAGGCCTGTGAGATGAGAGGTAGGAAGGCCACAGTCAGATCTCTCATGATCTTCCAGAAGGATCCGTTGGAATGATGGCAATCTCCCCCACCGATAGGAAAGTGTTTGTCGTGGACAAAGCCTTGTCCTGCCAGGTCTGTGAGTCTATTCCACATCAGTTCTCTCCATCCACCATATGGGCCCTGGAATCAAACTCGGGTCCTCAGGATTGGCAGCAAGAGCCTTCACTCGCCCAGCCCTCTCATCCTCCCGTCTAGCACTAGTTATTTTTCTTGTTGCTGTGACAAAATACCCGGCTGAGGCAAATTCAGGAAGGAAAAATTTATTTTGGCTTCCAGTTTGAGGGCAGCATCCATCATGGTGAAGAAGGCATGGCGGGGAGGGGGGTAGGGGAGGACACAACTTCCTGTCAGTGGAAACATTGTGTCCACAGTCACACTTCTTGTCAGTGGAAACCTTGTGTCCATAGTCAGGAAGCAGAGGATGTACCCTGAAACGTCCTCATAGACACACTCAGAGGTTGGTCCCCTGGGTGACGGGTGCCTCTAGATCCTGTCAAGGTGACAGTCATTACTAATCCTCCCTATCACATACCCACATCATCCCGTCACTGCATCAACACAGGGGCTTCTTCCTCACTGAAGTCCCTGTGAGTGGCAGGTTGTGGGGTGGTGAGAGCCAAGCGAAGCAGAGCCCCCTGGGAGCTGTAGAGACGTCCTACAGAGAGCTGCCGGTGTCTGCGCGGGATGTTAACCTCACTCGGAGTGAGGGGCACAGGGTAGACCTGGGTTGGAAGCACTCCTGACTTAGCAGCAGGCTCCACCACCAGAGCTCCACCCAAATCATCAGAAGCATTCCCCAATCCTGCAAACAGGGAACCAAGACCCTGGAAGACCTGATGGGTTCAGTGTATATAGCCAAACCATCCAAAAGTTCCCAGAGGCTCAATGTTGCCATTGTGGAATACTTGTCCCCCAACCAGGAGTACTTGTCCTTCCTATCCAGGAAGCCTATGCTTTTGAGACAGTTGCAGGTTCTGGATGACATCCCCCTGTCCCTCAGCCTAATAGGTCCCAGATGCTCTCCCTCCCTGACCCACGCTGCCCCCAGCCTGTTCTGGAACCCTGCCATCAAGCCCAGAGCTTCCCAGCCAGCCACTACACCTTTTTTTGGTTGTTGTTTTTAATTGAAACATTTTGTTCACTGGGACATGATGGCTTGACAGAGGCCAGCGTGAGATGGGCTGTTTCTTCCTGGATGGGAACCAGAACCCAGAATGATACTGGCAGATGAGGGAGGGAGAAAGGGAGTGGCTTTGGGGCCATAAGGAACCACCGGGGAAGCATCAGGCCACCATGCTGGCAGAGCATGAAAGGCAACAGAAGCCACCAGCCTCTAAGCTGACATGGTCAGGTCAGCAGGGGCTGAGGGGACACGCAGCCGGGACCCCTTCCCTTTGGGGCGGTGGGGCTCCATGGCTCCCTTCTACAGAAATGCCATTTAGGCTGTCTCTTGTCACTATGTCCTTTTCTACCCTCCTGGTTCCCACCCTCACAGTACTTGAACTTTGATCCTTGGTAATGAGACAGGGCTGCTGTTGAAGTCCAGTGCAGGAGGAGGGAAAGTGGAGGGAGGGAGGGAGGGAAGGAGGGAGGGAAGGAGGGAGGGAGGGAGTCCATGGAGAAAGAGGGAGGGAGGGAGTCCATGGAGAGAGAAGGAGAGAGAGAGGGAGGGAGGAAGGCAGGGAGGGAGGGAGTCCATGGAGAGAGGAGAGAGGGAGGGAGGGAGGGAGGCAGGGAGGAAGGGACAGAGGTAGGGAGGAAGGGAGGGAGGGAGGGAGGGAGGAAGAGAGTCCGTGGAGAGAGAGGGAGGGAGGGAGGGAGTCTATGGAGAGAGAGGGAGGGAGGGAGGGAATCCATGGAGAGAGAGGGAGGGAGGGAGTCCATGGAGAGAGGAGAGAGGGAGGTAGGGAGGAAGGCAGGGAGGGAGGGAGGCAGGGAGGGAGAGAGTCCATGGAGAGAGAGGGCTAGACCCAAGACTGACAAGTGGGTGTCGGGAAAGTAGTAGTGGGCAGCAGACCCCAGAGGGCAAGATGTCTGACTCAGTGCCTAACAGAGGCCAGGCCAATAGACATCAGTCTGGGAGGGGAGGGCTGGAGAGCCCCTCATTCCCACCCCAGCCCCCACTCCTTTTGCCAGGTTTCCATTGCATGTCCTGGGAAAGCCTGAGGAGTGGTGAGCATGTTAACAACATCAATCTCTGCAGTGCTTTCTGTGACCTTTCTGTGCATGCATTGGAGGCCACCACGGAGTAGCCTGGAATGCAAACACTGGCAGGTCCCCAAGAACTCGATTTGACAGACAGGAAGGTGAGGGGCGGGGACCACTAGACCCCTCTCAGGGCCGAGCCTGGGGTTCAGACCCCTGCATTCTTCATCCGATAATAAAAATACGGAGACAAAATAAAGGGGAAATGGATCATACCGGCAAGAGTGAGCCAGGAAAAGAGGAACTTTGAAGACCAGATGGAAACGTGTTTGCCAAAGAATTCTTGGATGTTGTTTCTAAGGTGACCTCCCCACCCTCTCCCTCTGGCAGCAGTGACACTGACCAGCCCTTTTCTCTCTCTTTCAGGACCTCCTGTAAGTACAGGCTGCAGCTGGTCCCCGTGTGCGCGTCTCAAAGGCCTGTGTCGTATATGGTAACGGGGCCCTGGGTGAGGTGCTGACAGTCTGCCCCTTGCTGTCTTTCAAGAGGGTCCTTCCCCATGTCCCCCAAAGATCAAGGACTCTGCATTCCCTCAGGGCAAGACAAGGGCCACCCTGGCCTTCTGGTCTTAATGTCATTCTAGAAGACTGGCTTACCCCTTCTTAGCCTACCTATTTTGTCCTCCCCCTTCACACACACACACACACACACACACACACACACACACACACACACACCACCAACAGCAACAAAAACAAAGTGATAGCTATCAGAAAGAAGAAAGATCACCCAGTTAGGCTCCCCCAATGTCTTTGTCCCATGCAGAAAGCAGGTCAGGGCACATCTCCAAGCTAGGGAGACTCCACAGTGCCATCCACACCCCTGTGTGGGCAGCCCCATTCTGACCAGGCCCTAAGGGGCAGCTGAGGCTGGTGGTGACAATGGCAGTAGAGGCAACATATCCTGCTTTCTGGGCCTTAGGCCCAGCGTGGGCAAGAAGCTGGACCTTTTCCAGTCGCCCGGAGAAGAACCCAAGGAAACACCTCCCCAAGGTAAAGGACCCAATGCCAGAATCTTGTGCTCTTTGAGGGACAGTATTTAATAGCCCTACAAAAGACCAGAGGGTACTGGGGGAACCTGGAGACTGGCTCTGAAAGGACCCAGACACTTCACATCAGATCTTTCTCAAGGTTACTGAAATCTACCCCACATCCTCCCTGCTGACCCTCCCTCCTGATTTGCTGGAATGTGGCTTTCGGCCTGTGAGGAACCAGAGGAAGAGAGCACCCTACTTGTGAAACCAGTGCACCTGGTTCTTCAAGTGACCATTATTTAATGCTCTGTGATTAACCCGAAATCCCAGCCCCCGCCCCCAAGAATTCTGCCAGCACCTTATCCGGTAGGACTTGACTAGCAGTCAAGGAGGGAGGTGCATTATCACTGTTAGTTCAGGGGCATCAAATGTCACCCATCTTCCAGAATAGATGGCAGGGGCTGGGGGTGTAGCTGAGCTGGCAGAGTGCTTGCCTGGCATGCTTGGAGCTCTGGGTTTAATCCCCAGCGTAAATCCCAACGCTTGGGAGATGGAGGCAGGAAGATCCGAAATTCAAGTTCATCCTCATCTACATCGGGAGTTCAAGGACAGCCTGGGCTACCCAAGGCTTTGTCATTTTTAAAATGGAACTATGACAGGCCACCTGCTGGAGTAGGGCCATGTGTAATACAGAGTCCACATCTGTATTATTTTGCAGATACTCCAGAGGTGGCAAGAACTTTAGCATCCTCAGAGCTAAACCAGCCCTGTCTGTCACGTTGTTCCCAGCCAGAGATGGTGCTGTCGCTCCTGGATTCTGGGGATTGCAAAGGGAGTGGGTACAAGTCCCTACTTAGAGTCTCCACCTGCATGAGCTGTGGCGCAGGGGGCAAGGCAGGTAGCTCTTTGCACTTCTAAGTTTGATGCAGAGAAGAGGTCCCAGGTCCTTGCCCAACTCACTAAAAAGACTAAAAAGCAGGAGGAGGAAGAGGGATGGGGGCTTCTTGCAAGAGAAGGATGCTGGTGGTCAGAGGTGAGGGCTGGCCCTGGGGGCTGTCTCCTAGGGGCTGTCCCTGTACTCCAGTGGGGATACCCAGGTTCCCGTTGGCACAGGGTTGGCACACACCATGGAGGATGTGGTGGCAGGAATTAGAAAAGGGTACCAAATTAGTCTTTCCCACTGTCCCCACCCTAGTGCTCAAGGCAGAAGCCTGTCTTCTTCCCACCCCTTTCTCATTATTTGAGTTATAGGAGTACGCAGCACCCTCTGATTTAAAAAAAAATCTGTAATTCCTGTTGATTCATTTGTTTTTATCCTACCTCACTTTAGGAGAGAGGGATTTAAAACTGTGTACTAGTTAGGTTTTTGTCAATTTGACACAAGCTAGGGTCATGTGGGAAGAGGCTTCTCGGTTGAAAAAAACACCACTGTCAAGACTGGCGTGTTGGCAAGTTATTTTCTTAGTTAGTGACTGGTGTGGGAGAGGACCCAGCCCACTGTGGATGCTGCTGCCCTTGGGCAGGTGGTCCTGCATTGTATCATAAGGAAACAAACTAAGCCAGGCATGGGAAGCAAGCCAGTATGCAGTGCCTCTCTGTGGCCCCTGCTTCAGCTCCTGCCTTAAGTCCCTGCCCTGACTTCACGATGGACTGATATTTGAATGTGTAAGCCAAATAAACCCAACCCCCTTGGTCATGGTGCTTATTACAGCAATAGAAGACAAACTGGGACAAACTAGGTAGGGAAATGGGGGTGGGGAGCTGAACAGAAGAGGCAGGGAACCTGGCTTCGAGCTCCCTGTAGGTCCATGCGAAAAGATAAATCAGTTTTTGTGTTGGTTTGGTTTTGTTTTTGTCAAAACTCAGTCTACAGTTAGGTAGGACTACATTGGACACTCAGTGAAGAGTGGCTTTTCCTGGTCCTGGGCCTTACCCACTTGTCCCCTTCTGACAATGGCTCCTGCTGGCATTTGCTTAGCAGCTGCTTTGTGCAAGTCCAGTGTTACACTAATTTATCTCATCATAAAAGGCAGGCGATGGCGCAGCTACTGTTCTCCCGTTTTCAAGCTCAGGGAATGAAGGCACATGGGAACCAAGCTGCTTAAGGTCATCTTCATCATTCACAATAAGCGCTGAGCCAGGATTGAACACAGGTGGGATGACTGCATTGCACCTGCTCCTATTCCAGAAGATTCTATCTCTGCTACCGAAACACCTCCACTAGTGCCGCCCCCCCCACTCCGTGTGCCAAGACTCAGGCTCAGCTCTTTTATTTTTTTAATTTAAAAACTTGTTTTCATACCCTGTATCTTGATCGTGTTTCCCCTCCTCTAATTCCTCCCAGATCTTCCCCAGCTCCCTCCAAACCCAACTTTTATGTTCTTTTGTCTCTCACTCACTTTCAAAGACAAACAAGAAATGAAAATAAAAACAATCAAGAAACACATACAAAAAAACCCACAAAAATGAAAATCAAAATAAACAAGCAAAAGACCCATAAGACCAAAAAAAAAATGCTTAAACAAAACAAAGTGAAACAAAAGGCCCACAAAAATGCCGTTGAGTTTGTTTTGTGGGGGCCAAGTACTCCTGGGCATGGGGCCTGTCTGAAGTGTGGTTGGTATATCCAGTGAGATTCCATTGAAGAGAAACTGACTTTATCTTTGCTATTGCCTATCGATTGCAGATCACTTCTTGGTTAGGGGTGGGGGATCCTGTGTCTACTTCCACTCTCAGATCTGGGGCCCCATCTGGTTTGAACCTGTGCAGGTTTTGTGAATGCTGCCACAGTCCCTGAGCTCATTTGCATCAGTACCGTTGTATCAGGAAGACGTTGTTTTCTTGGGATCACCCATTACCTCTGGCTCTTAGATTCTTCCTGTGTAGATCCCCAAGCCTTAAGGGGACGACGCCCCACCCTATTTAGGACTGAGTGCTCCAGAGTCTCTCACTCTATATATTCTGCCCAGTTGTGTGTCTCTGTGTTAGTTGCCAGCTACCTCCAAGGGGAGCTTCTCTGATGTGGGTTGAGCAACACACTGATCTATGGGTATAGCAGCATGTCATGTTACTGATAGAGCCCTTTATCAGAATATTAAGTAGGTTTTCCCCTAAGCCCACATCTAGCCCCAGATTTTGGGCCACCTGAGCAGTGTCAGGTGTTCCAGCTAGTGGAGTGAGTCTTACATCCACTCCGAAGAATAAAGTGGTTGGTTACTCCCATAGCATGTGTGCCGCTGTTGCACAAGTCTGTCTTTCAGGCAGGTTGCTGTTGTAGGTCGCAGGGGTCACACCTGGGTTGGTGTTCACCTCTCTCCTCTGGTAATGTGCAGAGTACCTTCCAGTACCACGAACACTAGTCAGTAGGGTGAAGATTCTAATTGGGCACCAACTTGACTTCTCTGTGTTCAGTGGTATAAGGTCCTTCGGCAATAGGTCCTTACCATCAGGTTGAGGAGAGCAACTGGTAGCCTTGGCAATAGCTTGTAATGTTTGTGCATTCCCATTGGGGCCCCTTTGGCCAGCAATTCAATAATATATACCTCATTACTACACTGGAGGTTTTACTCAATCCCATAAGATGTCTAGTTGAGGTATTGTCTCCTCTATTTGATGATTCCATTTATATTATTTTCATGTATGTTTGTATTTTAAGAAGCTACTACAGTAAGTAGTAGGTTTCCATATCATTTTCAAATGGCCTTTAGTGTTAGTTGCTACTCCCCATATTCCCTCCTTTACCCTGTCCTCCCACCCCCCTCCCTACTTAATCCTCCTATTCTGGTTTCCCCTTTATACCCCTATAACACTGTACTCCATTTCTCCTTCCTTGAGGGATACTCTACCCCGCCCAAGTTCTTTACTAGGCACTTAACTTCTGTGGTTATTTGGATTAAAACAAACATACTGCAAACTCAAAAGCTAATATCCACATATAAGAGAAAAATACAGTGTCTTTTGGGGTCTGGGTTACCTCACTCAAGATGATTGTTCCTTAGTTCATCCATTTACCTGTGACTTAGATAATTTCATTTTCTTAACAGCTGAATGATAATCCATTGTGTGAATATACCGCATTTTCATTATCCATTCAGTAGCTGCTGAACAGCTAGGCTGTTTCCAGTTTCTGGATATTATGAATAGAGCAACAATGAACATGGATGAGCAAGTGTCTCTCTAGTAGGATACAGAGCCTAAGAGTGGTATAGCTGGATCTTCAGGTAGATTGATTCCCACTTCCTAAAGAACTGCCACACTGATTTCCATAGTGACTGTACAAGTTTGTACTCCCATCAGCAATGGATGAGTGCTCCCCTCACCCCCACATCCTCACCAACATGAACTGTTGTTTGCTTTATTGATCTTGGCCATTCTAAGTAGTGTAAGATGAAATCTCAAAGTAGTTTTAATTTGCATTTCCCTGGTGGCTAAGGATGTTGAGCATATCTCAGTGTTTCTTAGCCATTTGTGTCTCACCTTTTGAGAACTTTTCTGTTTAGATCTGTACCTCGTTTTTTTAAATTGGGTTATTTGTTTTCTGATGTTTAAGTTTTTTTCAAGTCCTTTATTATTTTAGATACTAACCCTCTATCAGATGTGCTAAAGACCTTTTCTTACTCTGTAGGCTGCCGCTTTGCCCAAATGACAGTGTCCTTTGTCATATAGAAACTTTTGAGCTTTTTGAGGTCCCATTCATTAACTGTTGGTCTTAGTGTTCTATCAGACTCAGGGCAGCTGGTTTTATGTTGGAGTTCTTGATGCATTTGGAATTGAGTTTTGTGCAGGATGTTATATAGGGATCTATTTTCATTCTTCTACATAGAGTCATCCAATTTGACCGGCATCATTTGTTGAGGAAGCTATCTTCTTTGTCAAAATCAGGTGTCCATAGGTGTGTGAAACTGTGTCTAGATCTTCAGTTCAATACCATTGATCAGCTCAATTCCATTATCAACATGTCTGTCTTTATGCCAGGACCATGCTGTTTTTATTTCTATAGCTCTGCACTACAACTTGAATCTAGGATGGTGATACTCCAACAGTTCTTCTATCACTCAGGGTGGTTTTTAGCTATTCTATGTTTTTTGTTTTGTTTGGTGTGTGTGTGTATGTGTGTGTGTGGTGTGTGTGGTGTGTGTGGTGTGTGGTGTGTGTGTAGTGTGTGTGCATTTCTGTATGAAGTTGAAGATTACTTTTTTCAATTTCTGTGAAGAATTGCATTGGTATTTTGATTAGGATTTAATTGAATCTATAGATTGCTTTTGGTAGAATGCTCATTCTCATGATATTAATCTTCCTGATCGCCGGGCAGTGGTGGCGCACGCCTTTAATCCCAGCACTCGGGAGGCAGAGGCAGGCGGATCTCTGTGAGTTCGAGGCCAGGCTGGACCGACAGCCTCCAAAACAATACAGAGAAACCTTGTCTCGTAAAACAAAAACAAACAAACAAAAAAATCTTTCTGATCCATGCAGATTTAGCTCCTGAGAATATTTCATAATTTTCCCCCTCTTGGAAGAAGGCTGTTAGTATAGTACCTCAGAAGCTCTTTTGGGTCAAACCCATCTCAGGTCAGGGTCCAGCTGTAGAAAAACACCACTTTCTGAATTTTGGGTTTCTGAGAGGTTTCCAGTGTATGTTGTTATGATGGAAAGTATAATGGACATGATATTTGTTGGATAATTTATATTTATCTATATGCTTACTTATTTTGAAACAGAGTCTTACTCTGTAGCCCATGTTGCCATATACTTCATCATCTTCATGCCTCAGCCCCCCAAGTGCCAGGATGACTCTAGGCTGACATATGCCCAGCTGATATTGTTATCTTCTTCACGTTGTGGAGACTTTTATCTCTTGGGTTCCAGGAAGCAGGAAGGCAGAACAGCCCCGACTCTCCATCCCAGTGCTGATCCATCACAGAGTAGATGATCTTATGTGGTCTCACGCATCAAAGCAAGCCCCACTGTCTCCCTCATGATCCTCTGTGGGTTTTCCCCTTCTCTGGCCCCATGTCATAGGTATGGATATGGCCTGTGCAACAGGGGCATCATAGCAGATGGCAGACTCTACCATCACCCTGGCTTCTCCTATGCAGTGGAACAGGGAACATGGAACCCTGACTATCTCTCATCCCTACCTTTTCTCAGTCAGGGCCAATGGGCAGGAGTGGTGCCCAGAGAACCACAAGGAACCAGACAGAGGGCTAAGAGACAGGGGTATGCTAGTGAGAGGGGAAGCCCTGGTGACCCTTGAGACGTGGGAAGGGATATATCATCTTTCTGTTTCCTGTCCTAGTCCTGGGCCTAGCATATAGGAGGTCCTGGTTACTTGATTTGATGGATGGATGGATGGATGACAGAAATGAAGTCCCATCCCGGGTTTGATATCAAACAAGCTCCGAGAGTACAGGAGCCTTCCCTGAGGTCACAGCTGATTGGGGCAATGTTATCCCATTAACTATTGATGATTCTGACCTGTGTCAAGTTCACTCTCCACCTCTTTATTTCAGGGCCCCACTGGAAGACCTGGACTCCCTGTAAGTAATGTACTTCTTTTCTCTCTGCCTCCTTTTCATATGGGCACTGGGGATAGAGCATGTTTGAAGTACTCTCTCACTGAGCCACACTCCTGCCCCCATCACTCAGTCTTTCTCAGTCTGTTGACTGGCTGTGTTGGGTGGCCAGTTATCACAATTCTCTGAGTGTGACCTCCCTCTGGACTCTTTAGTCTGCAACTGAGGGTAAAACCATTCCCATGCCCTCTGCCTTGGAACACTGGAGAATATCTGGGGTCTATGGCTATAATTTTTGCAACCCTCCTAAGGTATTATGCAGGCAGGCCCAGCAGCAGGTCCTCCCAACTCAGAAGTTAAATCAAGATGAATAGTTTTGTAATGGGAGTCTGGGACAACTGGTCAACCCCTGGGTCGTTACCATCCTCTTTCACAACAGATGACATTCAAACAACTGTTCTAGTTTTCCTGGGCCCTCTGATGAAGGGTGAACTCAAAAACCTTCATTTCTCCCCAGTTGCCATTAGAAGGCTGAGAAATGACAAGGACTTTGTACAAAAGGGTGTAGGAGTCACCTGAATAACCATCACATCCCAGAGCTTTAATAGATGCCGAGAATTCTGAGCATCCCGGCCAAGAAAAATAGTAACAGCTCAGAGAAGTGTGTATTTCCAATCCATTTTAGTGATTGGAAGACAAAGGCTCAGGTTCAGGAAATTGCATCGCTCAATCTGTCCAGGTTTCCCAGTAGTGGATTGTTAGTGAATTATCAGATTATCACACCCCACTGAGCACTGCACTTTCTTGTAGCCCATGCCACATTTATTTGAGCACCATCTTTAAAGTTTTCTAAGAGATTTATCTGTTAGATAAATGAGATGAGGACTGAATATGGATACCATGGGCTTTGGAGCAGGGAGTGGCTCAGGCAAGATACTGTAGCCATCTAGGGTGTTAAGTAAAGCGTAGAAGGGTTTTTGGAGTACTTAGACAGGGAGGAAGCGTTCAGGCCAGGAATGGGAGGGATGCAGGGAAGGAGGACTTGCAGGGGGTACTTTTGATTCCTTGTCTTCCCTGTCATTTGCTAAATGCCACTTCCATTGGATTCTAGAACCTTTTGGGTATGAATTATAATTTTTTGACTAATTCAGCAGCTTCTAGAATCAATCCATGGCCAGTAACTTTTGTTAGTCAAGTACACATGGAAGAACGCCCAGCCTCAAAATCTGAAATTCTCCCAGAGCTGTAGCTCAGCAAGACGGGTGACTTGGTCCCTATGAAATCTAAACGGGGATGGTCAGGTGACTGAGAGGAATGTAGGCAGGCTCTTTTTTTTACAACTTTAAAAGACCTAAGGGGGCGATTCTCAGAGCAGAGTATGCTAATGAGTTTCCAGTCACTGGCCTTTCCATGTTTGTCCCTAACCCGAACATTTCATGGACAGGGCTGCAAAGAACATTATTTTCCAAAAGAAAGGAAAAATAATCCAAGACCCACACACCCTGGAATATCATTCAAGAGCCCAAGCATGAGTGGACTGTGAGGTCACCAGAGTCAGAGCTGACAACAGTCACAGGCCTGGTGTGTCCTCGGTGGGAGGGGCAGAGTCACTGGTTGAGGGTCTGAGCTTCCATGTGAAGGGTTGTGAGGACACCCACTAGCAGGTGCCCACGTGCTGGCCCTTCTTTAGGCTATAAAGGACAGGAAGGGTAAACATGCATATAAAACCACGGGGTTGTGGGCTTCCACTTTGTTTAGTCCATGCTGCTTGCCCAACATTCACCAATGGTCTTGGCCTAAGGCAGGAGCGTCTCCTGGGGGCCTCACAGCCTCAAAGCTTTCATCCCCCGTCTCCCACTCAGTGAGGCTGGTGCTCAGGGAGAATGGGGAAGCAGTCAGGGCTTACAACCAGCACTGTACCACTCCTCGAGGAGGCAGAGTGCTTTGCTCATAGATGTCCTTGATCTTGACAGTGTAAGCCTAACAGGAACTGACAGCATTCTTGTGTGTCCCACATGTGTCTTGGGATGACGCTTGTCCCTGGAGGCATCTTGTCTCTGTGGTTGCCTCTTCGGGATCAGCAGATCAAGAGTCACCCCAGAAGCCCCCCCACACACGCGCGCGCACACACACACACACAAATACACCAGGGGAATTTCAGGCAATCTTCTGTCCAGAAGGCTGGACGTCATCTTCTGTACCCTGTTGCTCCTCATCCTTTGAGGCCCCACCCCCAGATTTTTATGATGTCTGCATGCCTATGATTACAAAAAAATATTCTCTACTGAAAGGGGAACAAATGAAACTTCGTAAGCAGATTTCCAGAGCTAGAGGATGTAACCCTGGCTACAAGACAAAGCATGTGACTCCACATGCTGGAGCAGCCTGTGAGGAGAGGGGGCAGGGCACAACGCCAGAGCAGGAGATGTGCGAGAACATGGGCATTGCTTCCCTGGCTCTGACAGACCCAGACCCAGGGAAGACATTTGCCCTTCTGTCTTGGTGCATGCCTTCAATCACAGGTGATGATCCTAGGTCCATTTTGATTATCCCTGATGGGCTGCAGCGATGCAAGCCTAAGGGAGAAGAGGGCTTGGAGACACGTAAGGAACCCGAGGCCCAGGCCGATGACCTCCTCCCGCCATAGCCTTTATTCTGTAGCCCCACACTTGAGTGCAGAAAGCCATAGGTGAGAGATGAGGAGTCTGGCTCCATCCAGGCATGGAGGTCCTGACACCAGTTAGTGGAGTCTCCTGGGAAGTTCATGTGACATCCATGTGACACTTGATGTCCCAGCTGCCCCAACAAAGCTGCCTAGCTGTGTCCCCAAGCCAAGGGTGCACAAGCACATGGGACTCTCTGGCAGGTGGCAACCACCTTGACTGTTTCCACCTCCTTCATCAGGGAGACAAGGGTGCCATTGGGATGCCTGGACGTGTGGTGAGTTGGCCCACGTGTCCCTGCTGGGGGTGGGGCGGGACATTGCTTGCTCCTCCATGCTGGCTTGTCCTCCATGCATGATGAAGTGCTGCCCGGGGCAACTTCAGGAGGGCCCAGGAAACAGAGGGGAAGACATCTTATTCCAGTCTCCATCTGTACCACACAGCATAAGGCTCCATGTATACCAGTGTTTCTACCACCTCCTGAGAGCCTAGAGTCTGTTCTTAGAGATGCAGGGACTAAGTACTCTGCAGCCCACTGGACAGCAGAGGAAAAAAAGTACAAGAAAATTGCTGAACACGCAGGGGGTGGGTGGAGTGATATCTAAGTATCCCAAGGCACTAGCTGTCCCTGCAACCATCCTCAGAGCCACCACTGCCTCCCGTGGGTGTCCTTTACAAATGGACCCTACACTCAGAGGTTCTAAAGACAGGGCTTGGTTCCGGGCTTCCCCTAGGTCCTCATAAAGGTGAATACAGTTAACATCTCCTTTGTGAAAAGTGATGAAAGAGATCAAGGGGCATGAGAGTGGTTGGGCAGAAGACAGGAGAAGGCTGGATCCAGGCGTTGAGTCCCTGGCACCTGGGTTGTCCTGTCAGCCATGGGAGGAGGTCTCCAGGGTCTAAAAGACAGAACTCTAAGGTAGTGAAGGGCGTTCTGAACTAGGGTGTAGCCAGTACATCCATAGTCAGGGCTGCCCTCCTCATCTGACTGCTAACTACCCACCAGCATCAGCCTTCACCTCCAGGGCGCTCCCACCGCCATCATTGCTGGCTTTGCCTGGGACTCTCATCTCTGTGATGCTGTTGGCCTGAAGCATGACTGTGACATCTGGGTGTGAATTTGCATGGCCGGAGCAAGCATGGAGTTGGGGTACCCAAAGCTTAGGCAACTCCTGCTAGTGCTGACATCATGCCAAAGAGCCTTCACATATCAGCTCACTCAATCCTTGAGAGAACTGCATGTGGGGAGGCATAATCTCCACCACAACCCCGGTACTGTGGAGGTTTGGAAGGTTAATGTCTTTCTCAAGGTTGCTCGCTAGGAAGTGAGTACGCAGCTACTTGAGCACAGGCAACCAGGCTTCACATTTGGGCCCTTGACATTGCCAGTCCTTCCATCATATCATAACTGAAAGGAGGGACTGGCTTTAAACTGATGCCCCAGAGGCCTGGAACATTCTAGAGTTCAGTACAGGTGGTCCTTGCCACCTGAGCTGTGAGGCCATTTCCATGGTGCCAGGAGTCGTATTAGTCAATGCCATTTTGCCCAACATTTACCAGGTTCTTGGCATAGGGTTTCTCAAAGTGCTATCTCATGGGGACCTCAGCAACCTCAAAGCTTTTGTCCACTGCCCCCTCACCACCACCACTACCCCCAACACACACAGTCAACAGGACTTGGTACCCAGGAAGAGTGGGAAAACAGTCAGTGGGTACAAACAGCGTTGTGCCATTCTTCAGTATCAGAAGGCTACCAAGGCCTGTCGGAGTGTGGGAGTCCAGGTCCCCTCCATCGAGTCCTCACACTGATTCTGGATCACGACACTGGGCATTTTGCCTGCCCTGTGGTTCTGCTCCGTCAGTCTACCCATTAGACACTTGATCCGTATGTGGATCCCATTCAGAAGTGAGACATTACCCTTTCATCCTTCCAGAAGGCATTGTGTTGGATGCACCTAAGTGAAGCTCCAGCTATAAAGATCCCATTTTATGGGTAAAATCTACCCAGGAAGGGGGCGGGGTTGATCCTGTACCCAAGCCAACTCTCCTACAGTCTTTGCTCCTCTTAGTCCTTGCTCCTTTTCCCCCTGGGTGCAGCAGCTGGCCTGCAGGAAGTCCTGCTGAGTGCAAAATGTACTTCCGGCTACTCCTTCTTGCCCCCCCCCCAGCAGAGCTTCCTGCTTGGTGGCAATGGGGTGAGGTAGGGGAGCCTCCGGAAGCCTCCTACCCCCTGGGCAAATCTCCATTCCAGCCACTTTGTAGCTTCTCACTGCTGGTGCTATTTTCAATGTGGGATGGCCCATTTGGCTGCTCACTAGGGGTCCTGGCACAAGCTACTTGATAAGGACTGGTGTGTCCAATGACCAGTAGGTGTGAAATTCCTGGGTCATTCCCATGCTTCGCCAGAGGTGGTGCCACTGGTCTATTTGGAGCTGAGTAAATTGAAGCTGTCTGTCCGTTGGCCATTGTAGCCACAAGGGCTGGGCATTCAGCTTTCTGTGTATACCGACTCATCTTCCATCCTTGCAGAATTTATGCTTACTGCTTCCAACCACTGCCGCCATTTTTTGAGTACTGGTGATTGAATACAGGGCTTTGAGTTTATGAGGCAAGCATCCTACCACCGAGTCCAATCATGGGCCTTGGGAACTTCTTCCCAGCCCTGCCCATTGCTCTCTCTCTCTCTCTCTCTCTCTCTCTCTCTCTCTCTCTCTCTCTCTCTCTCTCTCTCTCTCTCTCACAGTGTGCACACAGCACTTGGACAGGGTCCCCTGTTTCTCTCCTAATGATGTAGAGCAGCTGGCCATGCTTGCTGGCTGGGATGGCTGTCGCGTGTCTGCATCTGTGTTTTGTTGTGCTGTGTTTCTTATTTCATGGTGATTTCTTTTGTTCAGTTGCTGTGCCGTTAACACGGATCCTTGTGTCAGTGTCTGTCTCTCATCCTCTTTTTTTGTCTCTCCATGCCCCCCATCTACCCCATGCCCTATGTTTTGTGGGGCCCCCTGCCCAGGGTGTCAAAGGTCAACCAGGCGAGAAGGTGAGTCCTTGCTGCCCCCTCCACCTTTATCCCAGTCTTGTCTCTTACTGGAGGCTTTCAGACTAACATCCTCCGTATCCTGGTGTGGAGCCCTGGGATTCCTGGGCAAGATCCCAGCTGTCCCACTTCAGTGAGTCTGCCCTAACTTGCAGTAACAACATGTGATGGATCCCATTGCTCTGGTTCCTAGCTGTGGACTGTCACCCCACCCCCACCCTGAAGGAAAAGACCGGCTTGTCATTGCTGTGTAGCTGGTAGTGCTCAGGGAGGGCCCCAGAGTCACAGAGAGGACCTTCCACCCTGCCCGAGAAGCCAGTAGTTCTGGAATAGGGGGAAGCATGGGCGGGGGAAGAGATCCTGAAGGAGCGGTGTGGTGGGTGCCCATCTTCTCCTCCATCACCCCCCCACACACACACAGAGACTGTTTCTGCAACAGAGTATCCTATACCCAACATAACAACAAATGCTAACAGTAATAGCTGCCCCAAGGTCTGGCACACTCCAACCTCAGGAACTCTGTAAGTGTTCTTGTTCCTACTGGCCAAGTTAATGCTGACAGCCCTACCTGGAAGCTTTACTATTTCTCTGTGACTAGACACAGAAAAGGAAAGTTAAATGCCCATAGTCACACAGCTAGAAGGTGACAGAGCTGGAGAGCAGCCCTGTGTGCTGTGACTCCAAGGCTGAGGCTACTGACCATAGGGCTGGGCAGTCTCCCAAACGGAACAAGACTGTTAGTCCCATCCAATCAGAGGATGAAACTGCCAAGGAGAGACAGACACATCACCTACCTCAGACCACTCGGTGCTTTTGATTAAGCACTTTCCAGTATTCGCCCATGGATTTTCCATATTCCAACTATTAATAGGCGCTGTTTTTTTCCCTGCCATAGTTTAGGAAATGAACAGAGAGGTTAATTAGCTTGCCCCAAATCACACAGCTGCTAAAGAGCAGTGTTTCCCTTCAAAGCATGCATTTTGCCCTAACCCATGCCTACCACTTCACAATACTACAGTTACTGGCTTGAAATCACTGCTGCCCGTGTGTGAGGTAGGACTTTTAACAAATCCCTTGCACACAAGGACTGCAGAACATCCGAAGCGCCAGCGCTCAGAGGCGTAGTGTGAGCTCAGAAAGCTGCCATGACTTTAACTCCGGGTCCTGGGCTTTTTCTTCATTCCCCTCCTGCCTTTGCTATGGACTCCTGGTGGGGACCCCTTCACCTACACACCCTGTATTTATCACCCAGGACTCTCAGCCAAGTAGCTCCAGGACATGCTGTAGGGGCTCAGCGCTGAGCTCAGCCTTCGTCCTTCTGTGGTATTCTCTGGGACACCCAGCCTTTGGGCTCAAGGCTGCTGGGCCCATATAGCCAGGGTGTTGTACGTCCTGACCCCCTGTTCTTGTAACTCCTGTTTAACAGCAGGGTGTGCTGCCTGGTGAAGCAGGTGGAATGTCACTGCTGAGCCACCTTTCCCTGTGTCTCCCTCCTGCCCCTCAGCATCGTGGATCCTGCTCTCTGCACTTCTGAGCCCATTGTCCCCTCCCACCCACGTATCTTCATTCTGCTGCTTCCTACTTACTGGCCTTCTCAAGTCCCCTAGGATGTTCTCATCATCATCTTTGGGCTCCCTGTTTCCAACTGATCTCTGGCTTCCCTTCGGTCCATGGGGTAGCATTCCCTCTCCCAAATGCCAGCTCCCCCACCCCCTTTTGCATCCTTTTGCTGCTTCCCCCTCTGTCTACCCTTCCACCCATCCTCTGTCTCCCAACAGGGTGCTCCTGGAGATGCGGGAATGTCCATCATCGGGCCTCGAGGCCCCCCTGTAAGTTGTTGCTGTTCTTTTGGGGATGTGGGTTGGGAATGTTAATGAAGAGAGTTTTTTTGTGGGGGGATAAGGGTGAGCCTTGGCACAGGCCTCCGGGTGTGGCCATCCCATACGGCGTTGTGGTCAGCCCTGTTGGTCTTCAGCTTTGCTGTTGATGTTAAAGAAGGTGGGGTGACTAAATATACCTAAATTACTGCCTCCCAGGAGGGCTGCAGGGCCTAGCCTCTGACCACAAAACTCCAGCAGCTGGGAGGCAGGAGAGGTGGCTGCTGTTGTTTACATCAGGGAAGAGTGCTGCCTGCCCTGAGTGGGTGCCCCAGCTTTCTTTGGAACTAATCCCTGCTTCCCCAAATCAGGAGACGATGACACAGTCCGGGTTCACTGACCCCAGCACCCACTCCTGGTTCTAATGAAGCCCTAACCCCCCCCCCCCCAATGCTCCAACATTCCTTCTCACTGTCAATACCAGGTCCTGGGAGTTAACACGCACCTCCTGACCTCCCTCTGACTTGCTTCCTTAGGGACTGCCTAGCATGTGGGTGATGGATTCGGCAAGATAGCACAGCTCTGGGTAGGAGGAGGAGCGGGGTCCAAGGTACCCACTCACACAGCTTCAATGGAGCCAGTGTCAGGGAGGGGCCAGCATCATCCAGCACAGCCTCTCTGAAGAGGAAATGGGTTCATAGAGGAGAAGGGGTTTGACCAGGGTCCTGTGTGGTCATGGACCTTCCTTCCCCTGATGAGGAACCTGCCATATGATGGGGGGGGGGGGGACAGGGGACACAATGAGAGGGTGGGACAGTGGGACAGTACAGAGAATAGAGCAGTCATTCCCAACCTTCCTAACGCTGCCACCCTTTAATAGAGTTCCTCATGCTGTGGTGACCTCCCCAGCCATAAAATTGTTTTGTTGCTGCTACATAACTGTAATTATGCTACTCTTAAGGATAGTAATGGAAATATCTGGTATGCAAGCTATCTGGTATGCAATCCCCAAAAGGTTTGCGACCTGCTGGAATAGAGGAACAAGAAGTCACAGTGACTAATTCACAGGCACTAACCGCGTGCTAGGTCTCCAGAACAGGCAGGAGATGTCTTTCCTCCACACCTCAGCACACCACAGGAGGAACCTGGGAATCTCGTGCCCACATTGGCTACCAGGCCCATAAGTGATCAGTGAGATTTTGCCCCAGCCCCTTCCAGCTGGCAGTGTCACTGTCCATAAAGGGTCTTCTCCTTGAGGGGAAGATGATGGTCCTTGTTGGTACCTCCATTGGTTTTGTGACACTTGGTGTCCTGACCGTGCCCAGAGTCCTCTGACATTGGCCACTGATCATCAGCCAGAAGGCCACACAACCCTGAGTCCTTACCAGACACCAGGCCGCCCCTCAGCTGCGCCTGCTGCACCAGGCTGTGGAAGCAGGAAACAGACAGACATTAAGGGCGGAGGTCCAAGTAGGCAAGCCTTAGGTGGCAGGTGGAGACATGGGGACATGTGGCTTTCCACTCTGTCAGTAAGGACCCAGAATAAATACTGCTCATCAGAACCAGCCTTGCCATACTTTTTTGGTTTTTCAAGACAGGGTTTCTCTGTGTAATAGCTTTGGCTATTATAGAACTAAGTTCTGTTGTTTGGTTTTTTGAGACAGGGTTTCTATGTGTAGCCTTGGCTGTCCTGGAGCCCAGAGATCCACATCTCTCTGCCTCCCAAGCACTGGAACTAAAGGCATGTGCCACCACTACCCTAGCTCTACCCTTGCCATTCTGAAGGGCCACCTGTCCACTCTGCTGGAGGCTGATCAAGAGTCCAAGCAAAAGGGGATATTCAAACACTTGTAGAAGGATGACTCCCATTCCAGTGGCACGAGGAGTTGGAATCTAGTGTCTGGGTATCCTCATGGAAGCCCTGTGAAACAGAGTGGGAGACCAGACCCCAAGGTACTAGGCAGGTCATGGCCAAGCTAGGATGACTACATGTCAAGGGGCCTGTCCCCTACAGGGGCTCCCAGCTGCTCTTTGGGGACCTGTAGGAAGGACCCGAGCTTCCACCCTCACCCAGGAGGAGCTGCCCACACAGGTAAACACACCTGCTGAGTGTCTGTCAGGAACCTAGAGCCTTCCAGGTTTGGGGAGGATGATGGGATTCTGCCCGCTTGCCCTCCAGGCCCATGATAGCAGTCTCATTTGCCATGACAGTGCAGATAACGGTGCCCCAGCAGGAAGTAGTAAGGACACGAGGAAGGGAAGCGCTGGGATCAGACCAGTCCAGGAAGGACAGGCTTTAGGAGGAAGGGATAACTGAACTACATCCAAGGTCTTACACAGTCCACCCAGGAAAGGGGGGTCAGGAGGGGTGCCAAGCTCCTTAGCTAGGAGAAGCATCTAGAAAAAGGACTGAATGAGAAAGCAAGGATGAGGCTGGAGAGGGCAGCGAGGGCTTTGTGTGAAGGACTCCACAAGATGTTCAGGAACTGCATCCCAAGGCCGTGGGGTCCCTCGGGTTGTGGTAAGTGGATGAGGGACACAATAGTACACAACTCACAGAGGCAGCCTCTCCCTGTTCTCAGTGGGAGCACATTGATTGAAGTGGCCGTGAGTGCTGTTTAAATGCCCTGGTACAGGCTGTATCTATATCTGTTTATCTATCTGCCTGTCCATCCATCCATCTGTACACACACACACACACACACACACACACACACACACACACACACGGAGTGTGTGTTCCTCCTGCACACACCGTTGCAGGTAGACATGGTGTGTTTTGGTGACAATCAAAATATATTGTGGAAAAGAGAAGGAGTCTTGGTCACCACACACTTCTGAGTCACACAGTGCATGGCAGTGCCCTCCCCAGGAGGAGGGGCAGATGTTGCCGGGGAAGGAAGGTGCCTCAGAGCAAGATGAATTTCAGGGGTGGGTGGATGTAGCTTATTTTGCCTTTTCGTATATAGATCCTTTATCCATAAATGTAATTAATGTGTGCCTCATCCTGGTGAACACTGACAGGGCTACTCAGATGCTAATGTTCATTCAGGAGGAAAAGAAAAGTAAGCTCATGACTTCGTTAGGAAAAAAGAACAGGGCAACTGAGACAAATGGCTAGAACAAAAAAGAAGGTTCAGAAACAAAACCAAACGCCTGTGGGAATTTGATTTGTGACAAAAGTGTCATTTAACAGGAGAAAGGGAAAGCAGATTGTTCTGAAATGGGTGTTGTGGCATGTGGGAAGAGGCAGATAGAAAATTTGATTGTGTGTGTGCATGTGTGTGTGTGCGTGCATGTGTGTGTGTGTGTGTGTGTGTGTGTGTGTGTGTGTGTGTGTGAGAGCATGCCTGCTGTGATGCACATCACGTGTTGATCGGAGGACAGCTTTATGGAGTGCGCTCTCCCCTTCCACCTTTCCATGTGTTCCAGGGATCAAATTCAGTGTCAGTTGTATGAAGCAAGGGCCCCATCCCCTGATTCTTTCTTGATAGAGAATCTATCCTGCCTGGTCTATCAAGACAGATGTCAATGAGTAAGATAGTCCGATGTAATCTGGCCATGATGGTGCACACTTGTAATATTAGCACTTGGGAGATGGAGGTTGGAGGATCGGAGTTCAAGGCCAGCCTCACCTATATGGTAGATTTGAGGCAGCTTGGGCTACATAAGACCCTGTCTCAGAAAAACCAAATCTAAGCAAAAGAATAACAACAAAATACTAAGAGTTCAAACATAAACAATAAACTATATGAGCAGAATATAAACACATGTTCTATAATTCCTTGTAAGAAGGCCTCTTTGAATGTGGCAGAAAGCCCAAAAGCCACAGGGAAAGTTTGTCTGTCTAAACATGACAATTTTAGGCTTGCAAATCAAAGACAATGATAAACACTTCAAAGACAAGGTGAGTTAGGTAGTATTTGCAAGGAGCTGTTCTTAACAAATAGCTTTATTCAGACCAGGTCAGAAAAGATAAACAACCTTACAGAAAAGATTAGTATACGCCAGGCATTGAGAAGCCTACTACCCCAGCTACAGGAGGCTGAGACAGCGAATCACTTGAGCTCAGGAGTTCAGGGCCAGTCTGGGCAATATAGATCCTGTGTCAAATATATTTGCTTGTTTACACTCTTTACATAATACATATTACATAAATAATGTATAATACTAGTCTAACATATTCAAGTATACACCATAATAATACGTTCCCTCAAACAGCCAGCTCTCCAGCCTCCCAGCCTGGAATCAGTATGACCAGAAAACACTGGAAGAGGCCGTAAGCTCAGCATAAATTGAGATGTAAATTACAGTCCAGTTGTAAGACTCCTCAATTGCCTTCTGCATGCCCAACCTCTCTCCAGGAAGCAGAATCCCATTTCCATGTGGTCAATGACAGCATTACTCCCCAGATCCTTGAAAAAGCCCTGGTTAGTCCCGGGCTTGGCCCTGGTTTGGAGGGATGCACACTGCTTACCGGAGCCAGCACTGTAATTAGCAGAGCGTGTGATTATCCCAACCACGTAAATATCAGCTGAGATTGCTATGAAGATGCTTCATGGAACCCTTTTCTCCTGACCTCTTCCTCTGGCCTCTCTGTGTTCAGAGCAGTTACAGAAAGTTTACATTGGGAGGTTTCAGAGATAACATTGCAACAGTTTCCGGGTTTCTCCTTAGGCCTATTCTTAGCAACCCTTATCCTTGAGAGGACAGAGGCCAGAGCCCTCTGACATATGAGTGGTGTCACCACTTTCTTAGCTTTGGACACTTGCCCCAAGTCCATCTTGAGCCTGCAGCTGACTTCAGCTAGTTAGTTCCTGTGGACCAGCACCCAACCCTGACATGGCAAGGGCGTTCTATGCCACCTGGCCAGATGGGTGACATGGTACCTGTACAGAGGTCTCTGGATACCTTCATGCACGAATCCAGGAAGGATCCAGGGAGCCTGGAAATATTTCAGGGTCACGGTACATGAGTCCAGAGACATTGTTCCCTGGACAGGATCTTGTTCTTGAACTGCTCCTTGATGATTAGAATTTCCGTGGATCCCAAAACACTGGGGAGATGGCTCAGTGAGTAGTGTTTGCCTTGTGAGCAGTGAGCACCTGAGTTTGGGTCTCCATCATACACATTAAAAGCCAGGCACTGTGGCACGTGTCTGTAACCACAGCACCAGAGATGAAGGCAGGAAGATCCCTGGAACTCACTGACACTAGTCTAGCCAAATCAGTGAGCGCTGGGTTCAGCAAAGAGACACAATGTCCTTTAGAGGAAGACATTTGACAATTGCACTCTAGCCTCTAGGTTCATACCTGCATGTACATGGACATACACATGCATGCATGTACACACACACACACACACACACACACACACACGCACGCACGCACCAACATGTACATGTACACAGGCATACAATAAACACAAGCAGTCTGGCTGGTTTCTGGTACCCTTCTGGTCAGCTTAATTCAACACTTGCCCAATGGTGGAGCTTCTGTTTCCAGAGACATTACAAGCAGAATTTGTGATAGTTATGTGACTTGATGAGATTACATGGTTATTCCCATTCTAGGGATAGGGAAACTGAGGCTTATAGAGGTTAGACAGTGTCTTGTCATCACACAGTTGTGGATGAAGGCTACATTAGAACTCAGCCTGCCAGAACCAACAGTCCATACTTGCAAAGAGGCTCTGCCATGTAAGCTGAGGGGATCCCAAACTGAGAGCTGGCATGTGCTTCAAGAAAAGCAGGCAAGCCACTGTTTTGGGCAGACAGCAGATGCCTAGAGGAGACAGGGAGGGAGGTAACCAGGTCACAGGGATGGAATGGAGGATTGTAATGGGGAAACAAGTGTTTTTATTAACAGGAGATAGCACTTACACACAAGCTGGGAAGATGAGAAGCATGGCCGGCTTCCAAGAGAGAGGACTTTTGCTTTCTCTTTCCCTTATATCTTCACCTGTCCCCGGTAACCCTGTCCACACCCCAAAGAGCTCACCCCTCCAGAGGATGGCTTTATCTTAAAAAATAATGATGAAGGTATATGGGCGCACACCTTTAATTCCAGCACTTACGAGGCAGGGGCAGATGGATCTCTGTTAGTTTGGGGCCAACCTTGTCTACAAAGTGAATTCCAGGACATCCAGGGATATAGAGTGAGACCCTGTCTCAAAAAAAAAAACCCACAAATTTTCATTACATGTATTTGGGTGCCTGTGTGCTTGTGCACGTGTGAGCATGCACACTGACAACTTGCAGGAGTCAGTTTTCTCTTCCACTGTGTAGATCCCAGGGATCACACTAAAGTCATCAGGCTTTGTGGCAAGTGTTTTTTACCTGCCGAGCCATCTTGCTGGAGCCTTGAATGATATGAGTGGCAGGGAAACCCTTGCAGGATCCTGTGGAGGGAAGTGACTGGGCTTCAGGTTTCTCAGCTCTCTGTTACCCTCTCAGGTCTGAGGTTACCCTCTCAGGTCTGAGGTTAGCCTCTCAGACCTGCAACCACAGTTCTGTGTTGCTTGGGTGGGAATCCTGACCATTAGCCACTGGCCTGTGACCAGGTGGCACTCAGCACCTCTACAGAAATGAGCCTGGATGTCTCTCCTTCCGAGAGACAGGGAATCCAGAGATTGCCCAGCTACTGGGAGAAACCTGCAGAGTAGGAGCAATCCGACCCATTCTAGCCTGAAAACATACAGTTTTGAAGGTCGAGTTCTGCAGACTTCCAAGTCATCCTTAGATTAGTGGCCATGAGCAATGCCTATAAATTAAAAAACAACAACAACGAAAAAAAACAGACCAAATTTGGTCCAGGATTTCTGTGCAATTCCACTGTCCTGACTGTCCCACTGGTCTATTGTCTATCTACATGCAAGGCTCAAGGGGCCCTCTTAGTAAGGTGTATCCCCCATGCTGCCTGCTTGCTTCCCTCTCCCCAGCTTGGTCCCTGCAGGAACTCTTCTTTCTGTCCTTTCCATCCTCCCATCGCCAGCTCACAGGCGATAACACAGAGTCAGGGATGGGCACAGAGATGAACCCGAAGGATGGACTTGGCTCCATCCCTCCTCACTCATCCTCACTGCTCTGGTTTTCACAGGGCCAGCCAGGCACTCGAGGCTTCCCTGGATTTCCGGTAAGTACAGAGGGCTCAGATTAGGAGAGATGGGAAGGTCTTGGGCCTGGCTGAGATCACCAAGATGATCCCTGAGACCACGTTTTCCCTCCTGATTCTAGCTACTAAGGACCCGCTCTGCAACCTTTAATGGGGCAGGAGCTTAGGGAGTGAACTTGCAGCCGATGCATCCCATTTGATACCAGGATGTGGGCCACAGAAAGCAAACTGATGTCCTCTGGTCAGACACCTAAGAGAGGCCAACCAGAGAAGTGGCTGTAGTGTGGCCATTGGAGTGTCCTTTAAACCTTGCCCATGGAGCCTAGATAGGTCCTAAGGGACAGGACCGGGGAAGCAGCTACCTCAGTGCTGACCAACGTTAGCTTTCAAGGAGCACACTGACCTCCTGGGCTGCCTCCTGGGCAGGAGACCTGGGAAATGTGGCCTTTGCATCTGTCCATTCTCTTTGCAGGGTCCCATTGGTCTTGACGGCAAGCCGGTAAGTAGACTCTTAGGGTAAGTAGACCCTCTGAGGAGTTGGGCTTTGCGCAGCTCACTCACCTGGGGTTCCTGGCCCTCCTGAGTGAGTGACAAGTGACACTGAGAAAGCGGGCAGGGTAAGGGCTTCAGTGTTTAAACAATGTACATGAAACCCTTTTCCTTCCAGGGCCGCCCGGGACCTAAAGGGGAGACGGTAAGACCCCTCCTTTCTTTCCTTTATAAGACAGGTGGGGAACCAGGCTGGTCTCACTCTCACAAAGGGACAGAGCTCACCTGTCACAGTCACCCAGGTTACACTCCTCACCACCCTAGATCATCATTGTGGGAGAAGTGGTAAGCCCTTCTCCTGCCCTGGAGACATTCAGGGTATCACCCTTGGCCAGTGCCACACAGCTTAGTAGGTCAGCTAGTAACTAGCTTACACTCCCAGACTGCGTAAGTGGAGTTTTTCTTCCAACACACTAACATCAGCGCTCTCGGGGTGGCGGTGGGACGTTCCCTAGGAGATGGTGGCCCTCTGCTTTACCACTATTGTGAACCTTCTTAGGGTTTCCTAGTTTCAAGGTAGAGGCAGTTGAGTCCGATGCAAGAAAAGGACTCGTCTATACGTCTTGCCACACTGAGGCCACTCACCCAGATGCCCAGGGACCCAGAGGCTGGCACTCAGGTGGTTCCCATTAGTCAGCATAGGGCAAGCAGCGAGCCCAGAAGCTCAGGCAAGGGTTCAGATTCAGAGTGTGTTGGACTGCGGATGGCTAGCTGTCCATGATCCCACCCTGAGCCATGTCCCAACACTGTCATTCTCTGGGCACTGGGAGGCAGAGGTGATGTCAGCCCCTTTGTCTTTGGACCCGTGAGGGTCTTCAGAGCCTGGCCCAGAGGGTTCAGCCCACACATGTCTGCCCTGCTTTCTTAACTGCACATCAGCATGGGTCTCCTCAACCAGAGCTTTAGCAAAATCTCCTGAAAGTTCGCCAGACACCCGAGTCCTACTCCTCCCTTGAACTAAGCGATAATGCAACCTTGACAGAAATGCCAAGGCCCCTTGTGCCTTCCAGGGAGCTCAGAACAGGGATTCGGGTGTCCATCCCAGCTTCCTGTATACCACAGGCCTCTCAATACACAGTGTCTGCAGCACTGACCTGCCCCACCCATGCCCAAGCCTGTTGTTGGTTGTTTTTTACTCTTTGCCCTTTGTGGGGGGGCGGGGCATGCCTGCCACCCATCTCCCAAATAAATCACACAGAGGCTTATTATTACTTACGAATGCAGGACCTTAGCTTTGCTTGTGTCTAGCTAGCTTTTCTTAACTTGATTTATCTCATCTTCCTTTTGCCTCTGAGCTCTTATCTTTACTCTGTATACCTTTCTTTATTTCTTACTCTGTGGCTTGCTGTGTAGCTGGGTGACTGGGCCCTTGCATATTCCTCCTTTTCTCCCTTCTCTTCCCAGATTTTTCCTCCTCTTTATTCTCTCTGCCTGCCAGCCCCGCCTATCCTTTCTCCTGCTTCACTATTGACTGTCCAGCTCTTTACTAGACCAATCAGGTGTTTCAGACAGGCAAAGTAACACAGTTTCACAGAGTTAAACAAATGCAACATACAAGAATGCAACACATCTTTGCATCATTAAAAACCAGTGTCCCACAGCATAAACAAACATAACACATCTTAAAACAATATTCCACAACGTAAGGCTTTCAGTGGCCAGGAGAGTAGGAAGCAGGCTGTGTTGGGGTCTCCTGAGGTACCCTGGGTGCAGGATGTAGAATCCTCCAACACCCAAGCCTCCCATGCAGAGGGCCTGGGAGATGTCCGTGGCTGGAGGAATGAATGATGGGGACAGGGAACAACTGGCCACACCCACTGAGGCTTAGCACATAAGGCTATACTGCCTTAGACAGTTGGATATAGGCAGTCCCGCCCTGTAGGACTTTGGGACAGTCTTGAGAAGTGCCTAGAAGTCCAATATCTGTCTTAACCCAACCAGGCATGCGTCTCTGATCTACCCACCCACTGACACACGTGTTTTCTTCCATAGGGCCTGGTGGGTCCCCGAGGACAACCGGTTGGTAGCTCATCTTTCATGTCTCCAGCAGGGAGGTTGGGGACCATGTGGCCTGGGATCTGAGCCCTGACACTGTAATTTCCTTCTCTTTGTAGGGCCCTCAGGGACAAAAGGGAGAAAAGGTAAGTGCAGTTGAGGCTTCCTAGACCTGCACCCATCAGGCAGAAAGGGGTCAGAGTAGCCATAAAGACACCTTAGAGACACCTAGTATGTAAGAGAAAACAATGACATTCTCCCATTGTCTGAAGACCTGCCTAAGTTTGGCTCTGTCCACCTGCTATCCCAAGGGGTTCCTTCACTCTGTGATATGAACTTAGAACCCTGCTGGCCTAACTTTTTTCTGGCCTCCTACATTCTCTGTCTTCTTCACTTTCTGACCAAAATTGGTAGGTTTACCCTGGACAGTGGTTCAGGTGCCTGGCATTCTTGGTTTAGGGGAGGTAGTCCCAGAGCCCTGCTAGCCACAAGTCATTGTAGAATCTGTTGGCCCCATCAGGGCTATTGGGTACTAACTCAGGGTGTGGGCTGACAACTGAGCTGGACATATTCCTAATCCTACCATCATGGAACAGTGACAGGAAGTTCCAGCATAGTCTAAGGACTGCAGTCAGGCAGGGATGGGAGGCGGCACGTAGTGGGGTCCCATCTCTGTACCACATGGAGATTCCTCCAGGTAGGCTCTAAGGGGTTCTTCCTGTTACCTAGAGGCAAAGAATGAGGGCCCAAAGCAGAACAGTAGCACCAGCAGGTGAGGAGATACATGGTGTGTTATGGGGGTATAGATCCCACCTAAGCCTCTCTCTTCCTCTCCCCTCCCTAGGGTCAGTGTGGCGAGTACCCACACCGGGTAAGTGATGCTTCAAGCTAAGGGTGCTCTTTGATCCATCCTGAAGCCTGGTCATTTCTGGGGGAGGGGGGACACCTGCATTCCTGTGTGTCAGGTGCAGTGTGCTCCGCCCTACAACTAACAGTGACCTGCTTTCAGCACTGTGTCAGGTGGTCATTGTGTCCATTTGCACGGAGCCAGACTCCTATGACCTTGTTTGTCTGCTGAACAAGTATCAAGAGTGTCTTGAATGTGTGTGTCACTTTGCCTTCTATTGGCCAGGAGGCATACACGGTTCTGGGTGTTGCTTCTCTGACCTGTGGGATATGGGGGGTATGTAAGTGTGGGGGTGTGTATGTGGGGGGGGTGAGAGAGAGAGAGAGTGCTTGTTCTTGCAGACACATGTAGAGGCTGTGCGTGTGTGTGTGCGTGTGTGTGGTCTGCATGTCTGGCAGTCCTGGACAAATATGAGGGACTTTTGAGTTAGTCATGGTTTCAGATGACCCACATCTCCAGGAGGGGAGATCATCTGGCCACTGCATCCTTGGAGGCAGTGTCATCTTGCCTGTTGGGAACACAGGAAACCCTTCTCGGCAGGAGCATTATGGTGGGGGTGGGATGTTTTCTGAACTGAGATGGTCCCTCCCCTATTCCTCCTGACCCTGTCTTTTCCTGGCTTCCTCTAAGCATACAGAACCCTATGAACCTTATACTTGTTTGTGCCCTGACAGCAGAGCTCCTACTGGAGATGGGAGGGCAGAGCTCCTCCTGGATTCCTCCCTGATGGGACACAGTAAAACAACTTGTAGACCACCCCTGTCATGCCCAGGCCTGAGCAGCAAATATGATAAAGATCATCTTAGGTGACCTTTCACCTATAGGGATCACAGTGTACCCAGAAACGCACTGTCTATTGCCCTGGCTGCTACTACAGCTGGGCAGGGTGGAGCTTAGCGGGTAGAACCCATCACTCCCCCTACCCTCCCACCCCCACCACAAGCCAGGCTCAGAATGTGCTTGACTCTCCAGGGTCTCTGGGAAGGTGTGGCTGTCATGAACAGCCTCTACCAGGCTTCCAGGATACAGAAAACCATGCCAGTCCCTGACTTCTGGGTCCTTGGACCAGAGGGGGGGTCTGTGCTAGGTTTGATGTATAAGAGGTAGGAATAAGTTTAAGGCCCAGGCCTTTACAGGGATTGTAGGGCCCTTCTGTTCCATCCAGCCTGATCCTGCCGCAACAATAGAAAGCCCGCTGTGTTTACTTGGAATGATGGGCTTGCAGGATGGTTATGTTACCCAAAAGAAAGCCTGCAGCCCCTGGCACAGAGACAACACAGCTGCAAGCGCTTCAGCGGTGTGTCATTGAGTCTGCAGGGGTGCTGAGGTCGGGGAGGGCAGGCTCTCTGCCCCTCACCCCTGCCCCAGAACAGAGAATGGAACAGTGACAGGAAGTTCCAGAATAGTCTAAGGACTGCAGTCAGGCAGGGATGAGAGGAGACTTGAAGGCCCAACTGGCAGGCAAGTTGACTGAAAAGAGAGCATGAGAGCCTCTGGGGGACTGATGGCTTTCCAAGAGGTGGGCAGAGGAAGGAGTGCTGACAGGTTCCAGGCCAGCCTGGCTAGTCCAGCAGCAAAGGAAGGGGCTAGGCAATGAGTGGGAAGTCCCCTGGTGTCCCGCAGGGTTGCTAGGAGGTCTGTGGGCTCTCTCCTGCTCCATGTGACCCCATGTCTGCTGCCCCCTTTGCCTCCCAAACCAGGAGTACCCAATCGGCGTTCTAGCAGCTCTGCGCGCCAACCCGATAATTTCCCTAAAGGTTTGTCGGTTCTAGACGGACTCCAGCCCCTCTTGGCTGAGACACTTCCTGGACACAGAGCTCAACATTGCACATCCCCAGCATGGGAGGATGGGGTTTCTGCATGGCTCAGTGTGCGGCAGCTGCCCCTGTGTGCGGCAGGATTAACCTCGAAGGGCCCCCCCCGGGCGGGGGGGGGCTCCTAATTCCCTAGCTGAGTGTATTTCAGCCCAGGGGCCTTAGACACATGTGGTTAATCCCCCAAAGTCTTGTCTTCATATGGGTTCTAACCTTCCGGTCCTCTCCTCGAGTTCAGCCTCGCCAAGCAGGGAGACAAAAAGCAGCAGAAATTACCCCAAATGAGAATGATGTTCGATAATGAGATCATAGGCTGCCTGTCCCCCCTAGAAGTGGTTGACCATTCCCACGACATCTTTTCTGAGCATGCCAGCCACAGAATGAGGCCTCGGCAGTACTTAGTGTGTGCCTGACAAGCCACACCCTCAGCCAGCTCAGCCCCAGGAACCAGGCTTAGCTGCCCTTGACCATGGTCCTCAGATTCGCTGACATCAGCCATTCTCAGCCTACCAAAAAGGAACCCACAGGAACCACACGCCAGCCTGGCTCCACGCACCAATTTAGCTCTCTCTGTGGCTCCCCATGCTCAGCCCAGCAGCCACTATCCACCTGGCAGGCCCCGGGTGGGGCAGTGAAATGTTGGGGTGATGTGTCACATGGCCCGAGTGGCCTGGCATGGTGTCAGAAGTGGCCCTGGCCAGGGAGAGCCCCTCTTCCGGAGGTCAAGGAGGCTACTAGTCAGTAGCCAGAGCTGAGGCAAGGTGTTTATGAGGCCATGCCTTCAAAAGGACAGCTGAGGCTGCCAAAGGCAAGATGAGCATTGTGTCTGCCCCTCGAGCTGGGCCTCAGGGGTGCCCCGCCCACAACCCAAATCTATCCTGCTGCTGTGCTCACACTGACCTCTCGTCCCTCTTCCTCTTCTCTCCGCTTGGCCTTCTTGGTGACTTCCTCCATCGGTCTGAATACCTGCGACCTCTGACCTCGGCCCCCTGGCCTTCCAACTCATGTCTCTCTCCTCAGCTGTTGCCTCTCCTCAATTCTGTGAGGCTGGCTCCACCCCCAGTCATTAAAAGGCGGACCTTTCAGGTAGATACCATGTGGGGCTTTCCCAGGGGCTTGGCGAGTCTTGGGGTTGCGGCTGGGCAGCTGGGGTTACCCACTATGCCAGAACCGCTTCTAACAGTTGCAGTAAATTAGGCAAACATTGGCCCGGTGATGCCATAAAAGTGGAAATACACAGCACACAGGCCCCATCACAGCACGACACCTGACACCGCCGCCACCACCAGGCGCTCTGCATCCACTTTTCAGGCCTTTCAGTGGTTCGAGAGTTACGCACCACTGTCTCTATTGCGCAGATGCAGAAATAAAGGCTCAGAAAGGTTCGATAAGCTGCCTGAGGTCACAGAGCAAGGATTTATACCCAGGGTCTCTGCCTGTTCCCAGTGTGCCTCAGCTCCCTCCTGTGTGATGTAAGAACAGGCGCCTTGACTATGATAGTGCAGGGAAGTCGAGCCTCAGGGAATGAATGAACCCGCCCACAGTCACAGGAGCAGCAAGAGGGCAAAGTGGACTTGAGAGCCAGGGCTGGGCCACCTAGACCCACAGTCTCCCTGCTCAGGCACACAGCCTGCTGAGTCTGACCCCTCAGAGCCTGGGTGTGAGGAACAAGGGTCTTTCTAGAGAGGCATGGCCCACAACCAACAGGCGAACAGCTCCTTTCCTATCTCCTGCCTTGCTGCCTCCAAGGACAAAGCATCATTGCCCATGCTGTCTGAGGTCGCATGAGGCCAGAGGCAGCCTGTCTTACCCTTCATCTGCCTTCTGTGGCCCAGGTGTCCCCAGGGCCCCGGGGAGCTGGGAGTGGCAGGGCCTTGAGCTACTTGCCTGGTGAGTCCACAGCCTAGGAGCATGGATACTCGAGTACCTGACTGAATAAGGCTGAAAACTCACTCCAGTGGTCAGCTAAAAATACAGTCACATGATACATGCGCAGCCTATTAAGCATTCAGCCCATTCTTGTAGGCTGTGGATCGCATTACCCCCACCAAATCCTCGAGAGCCTCCAGGGCTCCAAGGGTTGCTCAGGAGGCCGCTGGCAGCTCAGAGCAGGGCCAGGCCCATTCAAGGCCACTCATCCTGCTGCAGACAGGGCCTGCTTGAGGGAAGCTGAGTTAGTGTTCCTGAACACATACCCACCCCTCACACACACACACACACACACACACACACACACATGCACGCATGCACATAAACACAGTCACTGTGTAACCTTGCTTCCACTAGCCTGTCTCTTTGACGGACATTTGCTGCATTCTAGCTCCTACTGTAAGCACACTGCCTGATGGGTTGCAAAGGGTGCCTCGGTCAGTAAAATGCTTGTTGGGCAAGCAGGAGGACATGAGTTTGGACCTCCAGGCACATACTTGTAATCCAGCCCTGGGATGGGAAAGACAGGAGAGTCCCGGGGCTCTCTGGCCAAGCCACCTATGAGGACATCCCCTGAGGAGTGGTACCCAAGATTGATGTCTGCCCTCCACACACGTGTGCATATGCATATGCAGTTACCTCGTGTAAGCTGCTTCCCAGCTCCCTGTGGGTCATAGTCTTCTGCATTTCCAGTTGGCAGAGGAAGCCCCTAGAGCAGTGGTTCTCAGCCCTCCTAATGCTGAGACCCTTTAACACAGTTCCTCATGTCGTGGTGACCCCCAACCATAAAACTATTTTGTTGTTACTTCATAACTATAATTTTGCCACTACTATGAATTGCAATGTAAATATCTGATATGCTAGATATCTGAATATGTGACTCCCAAAGGGGTCATGACCCACAGGTTGAGAATCACTCCCCTAGTGGGTCCAGGAGTAGATCCAGCCAGCCCTGACCTAGTTTCCAGAGCACAGCCAGCAGGAGTTGCCCTCACGGCCGCTGCAGAGGCCCTGGGGGGTTAGGGTTTTATACCGTCAGCCATCATGGGCCAATGAGAAGGCTTACCAGTTTCCTATTGATAAATCTGATGGGTGATGCACGTTATGCAAGGCGGTCTCAAGTTAGCGGAAAGGGGAAGCTTACGTAAGAGCTGGTGCCGACTGATGCGTTTAGCAGATGGTACCGGAGGCCCCGTCCAAAGAGCAACGAGTTGGCTGAGGAGCCCCGCTCAGCCAGTGGTGATGAGCCAGACGAAACCCCATGGCCTCTGACCTAGGGTCTCATTTGATCCCCTAGAACAGATAATCAAAACCAGCAAACGCTAAGACAGCAGACAAGGACCCCATGCTCCCATCCTGCAGCCGGGAGGCCAGGGCTCATGACAAACTCGCTACATTAAGAGAGTGGTGGAGGCAGACTGCAGACCACCTGGGCTGAGCTCAGTCGTGGGGCCAGGCCAGGAGCAGGGCCTGGGTTCAGGCCAGGGGTCGCCTCTCACTCACTCTCTCTCTCTGCCGCTACTGCCAAGCCCTCTGCCCTGGAGACCCCCGGAAGCCCCCACAGCTCAGCAACCTGATGCCTTGGTCCTCTCCTCGCTGCCATTCGCCCCGCATGCAGTCACCATCACCGCCACCACACCATCACTACCCTCGCCATCCACCCACTGCCCCCCAGCAGGGTCCACAGAGGCCCCCACACATGCATGGCACACGGTGGGGGGGTGGGCTGACTGCTGCTCTGAGACCTTTTCTCTAATGCGTGTTTTCTCTGACTGCAGGGGGAACAAGGCCAGGCTGGCATCCAAGGGCCTCCAGGGCCACCGGGCCCCCCAGGACCAAGTGGCCCTCTGGGACACCCAGGACTGCCAGGGCCTATAGGGCCCCCTGTAAGTATCCCTCCCTTTCTTGCTCTCTAGAAGTCTCCAGAAGCTTCTAAACCTTGAATAGCGACCAAAATGACAGAAACATTCTGTCAAGGACCTGAATATGGGTAGCCCATGCCCAAGACTCTGCTTGCCTGTCTACCCTCCCAACTCTACCATTCTGCTGCAGGGCAGTGGGTTCTGGCAAGGTACTGGGGGTGGCCTCTGATGTCTATGTCTTTCAAGGTAAATACAGAATCCATGCTGCTGGACCACCTGCCAGACAAGCTGCCCAGTCAGTGGGGGCCCTGCCTCCTGGGACCTGAGGGTTGGTAGTGCCACTGCTGGAAGAGGGTGCCATGGGCATCCCCTGCAAGTGACAGATCTACCCCCCGGCTCACTCATTTTCCAAACCCTGGCCAAGACCAGGTCCTCCGCATCCACAACACAGCAAAAATATATGTGTGCAGTGCTGATGAAGTCTTCCAAGTAGCTTGAAAGAGGTGACATCAAAATCACTCAAGTTCATGCCCAGGCCCTTCGACTGCTCTGACATTTAACCATCTTGAGACGCCGTGGGGGGTCCTGTGAACTGGACAGCAGCTCTGGCAGCTGTAATCTCCCATTGTGCTAGGAGGGCTGGCTCAGTTGGTCCCCAAAAGGCTTATTTGCAGAATTTCACCTCCAGGACTCCAGTGTGGCGGTGGGGAGGTCTCACCTCCCTCAGGCTTCCAGAAAAACTGGAAGGAAATGAATTTAGAAAATTGAGACACACTAAGCCTCCAAAGTGCCCCAAATTCACTGCTTTTGCCAACTACCACCCTTGGGTCCAGTACTGGTCTCTCCCTCTCCGCATGGCAGCTAGGTGTATTGTTTGTTTGCTTGTTTTTTCTTGGGTTGTTTATAAAATAAACCCTGAGTGTCTTTTATACCAGTGGAAACAGACTAGACCTAAACTTGGTTTTCTCCAGCCCGAGTTTATTGCCCAGACCTCTGCCCAAGACCACAGTACCCAGCCACCCCCTGGCCTCCCCCTTGGTACCCACGGCCCCCTGTACCCACACCAACTCATCATGGCCAGCTGCTGTGGTTACCTCCAGGCAGAGGGGGTGCCAACGGGCTCTTCTTCAGGGCTTCAGGGCCAAAGGCAGGATCAGGGCTTTGCTGGGCAAGGTCAGCTATCCAGCAAGGGGCCTAAATTAGGAGGTACGTGGATAAAGGATCTTTACTAAGCCACATTGCCAATTTAGCCCCAGGCCACTGACATACTTTCCAGTGGGCGAGCACAGCACAGTTGCCCACAGTGCCCACATGGCTCCAATCAGAGATACTAGCCTGCTGTCCCCATGTGCCCTCAGTTGCTCTCCAGGATACCCTGGAGCTATTTGGGGCGCTCTGCTCCAGCCTCCATTATGACTAACCTCACTCACTTACCTTCTTACTTCTACAGGGCTTACCTGGGCCTCCTGGACCAAAGGTAAGTGCTCGCTAAGTGATAATGGATGCTCTGGAGGAAAGCGTTTCCTGTAGGGGGAGTGTCAGCTGAGGAAGGAGCTAAGAGGGACTGAAGCTGAGTGATGGATTAAACATAGTCCGTTTCTAAAACGTCACCTCTTCCTCATGAACTGCTTTGATCCCAGTATGTAGCATCCTTCTTGGGTGCTGACGATGGCTGAGCAAGTGCTATAGTTGGCATAGAAAGTAAGGCCGGGCGGTGGTGGCGCATGCCTTTAATCCCAGCACTCGGGAGGCAGAGGCAGGCCAATCTCTGTGAGTTCGAGGCCGGGCTGGACCAATAGTCTCCGAAACAATACAGAGAAACCCTGTCTCGTAAAAACCAAAAAAAAAAAAAAAAAAAGAAAGAAAGAAAGTACCCTCCTGGGTTGGAGATGTAGTTTAGTGGTTGAGGGTTTGCCTAGGATGCATGAGGCCCTGGGTTTGAATCCCCAGTGCATCATAAACAAAGTGTGACGCTTACACCCACAGCCAGAAAGTGGAGACAGGAGGACCAGAAGTTCAAGGTTATCTGTGGCTACATAACAAGTTTAGAGGCCATCCTGGGCTACATGAGACCCTGTCATTAAAAAAATATAGTGGGGCATTAGTGGCGCATGCCTTTAATCCCAGCCCTCAGGAAGCAGAGGCAAGCAGATCTCTGTGAGTTCGAAGCCATCCTGGTCTACAGAGTGAGTTCCAGGACAGGCTCAAAAAAAAAATACAGAGAAACCCTGTCTTGAAAGACGAAGAAGAAGAGGAGGGGGAGGGGGAAGGAAAGAAAGAATGAAACCAAGAAAGCACTCTTGGCTGCCTGGGAGCTTGTGTTCCATCTGGAAACACAAGGCAGACAGATGTTGTGACATGGTCACAGTATCCTGAAGCTATCCAATATGGAAAAACCTCCAAAGTGATCTGATCTTTTGTGAAATGTTGCCTGGAAGCCTACAATGGCAAAGGCACTCACTTTGAAGTCAGAAACCCCAGGGACCAGAGGGCATAAAGCACCAACAGTGGCCACCACTTCATAAACATGGAAGCAGAGAGCCAGGGAGGGCTCTGGAGAGGACTCATTGATAGAACCAAAACTGTAGTCCTGGGTCTCTGACAGGCTGACCCCTCACAGCACCCTTCAAACATCGAAACGGTATCTGGAGACCATGAGGGCTCCAGGAATAGCTGGGTCTGGGGGACCTCCAGAGAACAGGGGGCTCATGGGGAGTCAGAAGGTAGCATTGTGTAGCAAAGAACACCAACTGGTCTGGCATGGAAACCCATTTGGCTTCTCTTTCTTCCCCCAGGGAGACCCAGGGATCCAGGGCTACCATGGCCGCAAGGTAAGCCTCATTATAGGGATGCACACAGGCTGGGGCTTGGTGGGGAACATGTGTGCGCATACCTGTGCCAGTCATGTGAGCCTCGTTGTTTATAAGGTTATCCAAACACTCAGAAAAGGACAGGAACAGATGGGACAGTGCCTTGGTGGGCTGGTGGCCCAACCTAGCCTCAAGTAAGAGAGTGTCTCTCTTATTGGCCTAGCTGGCTATGTCTGGTATCTGGACTAGGTGAGCTAGAATACTGTGCCCCTCTAAATGAGCCTGGAAGAGGATGCAGACAGACCCATCCCTGCTCTTGGGCAGTTCCCAGACCAGGCAGACAAGGATTGCCTTACTAGAAGCAAACTGTTGAGTGATATCACTACAAAGCTCTCTGAAAGCAGGGTGGAAAGATAAAGCCCAAGTAGGAAGAGTTAAAGCAGTCAAGTGCTCAACCATATGAGTGGGTATATCAGCTAGCTAGTGCTGTGTAACAAAGTATCCTGAATTGGCTGACTTAGTATCATGATTATTTCTTATGTTTCTGTGGATTGTTGGCCTAGGGTTCTACAGTTCCACCTGGGTTCATAGGAGGAGCTTATCATTTGATAGCTAGGAGGGCAAAGATAGCCTTATTTAGTCCTTTGGGTGGTGGTGCTGGCTGGTGGCTTCTGCTTTCTAGGTGCCTTTCATCTTCCAGCAGGCTAGATGGGCTTCCCCATGCAAGGTAGACCCGGAATAGCCTCGAAGGTGGGCAGACTCAAATACACGAGCCTCCTCCCAGTATCATCTCATAGCACATTTCCTAAGGACCTTCTGCTCAAATGGGTCGCACAGCTAAGTGCCTGCAGTAGCATAGGAAGAGACCTAGTTCTTTTTTTTTTTTTTTTTTTTTTTGGTTTTTCGAGACAGGGTTTCTCTGTGGCTTTGGAGACTGTCCTGGAACTAACTCTTGTAGACCAGGCTGGCCTCGAACTCACAGAGATCCGCCTGCCTCTGCCTCCCGAGTGCTGGGATTAAAGGCGTGCGCCACCAACACCCGGCTGAGACCTAGTTCTTACTAGGGGGAGAAAAGCTTTGTGGCCATTTTCAGCTGAATTCTGCGATCCTTCTGCAAACCTGAAAGGAAATATCATTTTAGACACGGAAACCATTTGAGCCAAGGCCCGGAAGCAGTTACTACAATAGACATAAGAGCATAACACTTTCGATACAGCCAGTGCTTACTGAATGTCAGCTGTAGGCCAAGCATTGCCTGCAATACAGCCTGCATAGCTCCCAATCCTATACCCCTTGGGGCTGCTATAATTTGCTCCCACCGAGCAAATGGAGAAACTGAGGCTTACCCAAGTCTCTGCTAAGAGAAGTCAGAACAAGAATTCAAGCCAGGCCTGGGTCTTTCTCATGGCACCAGATACTACAAGGATCTAGCCTTTGGCTGGAAAGCTCCAGAATCCTCCAGAACCTTCCGGAAGGGGAAACGCAGCAGGAAGGAAAGGTATAGGTGGGGGAAGGAATCTTGGAAAGGGAGACTCACTTGGCTTAGGAGTAGGCGCTACACCCTCTGGGTTCTGGTGTCTGCCATTGCTACGGTGTTTTATGGTGCCTGGTGGGGGAAATGCTGAGACCTGGGATCTTTAATTAGTTCTGCACAAAGTGAGAGGTTTGCATTGTGTCAGGAAGTGGAAATTACAGCCCCCACCGTTGCCTCTATCCACTCACTCAGACTCACAAAATTTATTGCCTCCCGGTGCAACACGGGTCAGTTTTCCCATTAGTAGTCACATCAGTTCTTTCAACCTGTGAAGGGGTGGAGAGGGGCCCCAGGGTCATGGTGATGCCCTTGGCTGGCACTGTTGTGACCAGCAGTGTCTACCTCTGCTACAAACAAGTGTAATGCCTCAAAAACGGAGTCTAGAAAACTGTTGTCTTAAGACTGAAGAGGCCCCACTGAGGGCTAGGGTGTCCTGATGCTGGGGGCCTGGACCCGTGTGCATGGCCATCCTCCACGTGGGCAGGTGATAGCAAGGTTCATTCAACCCTGGCATTTGCTGCGAATGATGCAATACCATTGAGGGGTGGGGCAGCTCCTGGGGAGAAGGAGGCTGCTGGCTCAGGCACAGAGTGCTCTGGCCTCACAGGAGAACAGGACTGCAGGACCTGACTGCCCTCCAGAGAAAAACAGTTCTGGCCCCACCTGAGACACTTTGTCAGGTGCCAGGGAGCGAGCCAGAGGCCTGCAACAACTGGCCTGCACTGTTAACGGTTACCTCTGCAGCAGCTGAGGTTACAGTCCCTTCTTGCTCAGGGAAGCCATGGCTTCCTGGGCACAGACAGTCCCCACATGTCCCCTGGAGGCCTCGCAGAGCTTTGTCACCATAGCCTCTTGGCACCTTGGGTCCCATCTTTTCATCTTGCGTCTAGGGCAGTCAGGGCCCCCTCAGTCTTAGGACTCTGGAGCAGCCCCCTCTGCCCATCCCCTCATGCTGAGTTCCTTATGGCTTCTCTCTTTGCTGGGCCACGCCCCTCTTCTCCTCTCTATAGAAGTCTCTTTTCACACGTTTCTAACAGCCAAGGCCAGAGCTGGCCCCTCCACCTCCCTGGACCTTCACCCCTCCCAGCTGCCTCCTAGGTAACCTCAGCACCCCACACCCGTGTGACCCTCTTCTAGGGCCCTTGTTCTATCAGAGAGGTCCTCTGCAAGGAGACAGACACACTGGGCCGCGGCATCTTGACCCCAGCAATCTTCATGTCCAAACAGACGCTCGCTTCCCTCTCAATCCTGCCACAAAGCGATTGTCACTTGTGCTCAGTCAGGTGCAGCCATCCTTCACGTCTTAGTTCAGCCAAAGTGCAATGGCGCCTGTCTCACTCTGTCCTTACCAGAGACAGGGCTGAGAGCCCATTACCCCCCCACCCCAGGTGTTAATACTTTGCCTGAAGTTTCACAGTTGATGAACAACGTGCTGGAGTCAGAGTTGAGGGCTCCAGAGCAGGTCTGAAAGCACCTGTGGATTCTCTAGGAGAGAAAGGCTGCATGGCGCACGCACACACACACACACACACACACACACACACACACACACACACACCCTTTGCCCATCAGCCTTCCCTCTCCCTCTTTCCTCCCACTCTGTGCTTGGTTAAGGTGCAAGGAGGAGAACTTAGTTTGGGGGAGGAACGGACTTGAATGTCTGAAAGAAGTGTTCCCACCCCTCCCCCCCAGGGGAGGCGTGGCCACCAGTTACAGTAACAATGAGCTGAGAGAGCTTTGCAACCGCCCTACCGTGGTCTCTGTGAGAGGCAGGGGGCGGTGACCTGTCTCATGAGCTCTGCTTGTTCTGTCTCCCAGGCTTGGCACACAAGGTGGAGTTTAGTGTCAGCCCGTGAAGTATGAGAATGAGACACTCCCTCCAGTCACTCCGCTGACTGTTCCAGACCTTTTTGACCTCTCAGCCAGGCCAGCAAGGTTTACTTCTCTACCAGCTCTTTGAGATCCAAGCCCAGGGTGGCTAGCATTCTGTTGCAGCCCCTATACCTGCCCAGGGGCCAACCTTCCGGTTATATATTGTTGTATCCCCATGTGGTACCTTAACTCTACTGCACAATACAAAGCATGTTTCAAACATCACACATCACAACCTCAGGTCTCCTTCAGACTAGTGTGGGTCATACACCTGATAGGAGCTCATCTCCTACTGTACCCCGAGTCATTTGCATGGGTCTTTGTAGAGGACACACGTTCTGAAGGATACAGTTCTGTGAAATGGTGATCAACATTGTTATGAATACTCTCTGAACCCCTCCCACATGCCAGGCAGGGTACCAGACACTCCACAGGCCATCACTTTTTGCCCCACCCCCTTTTTGAGCACAGGCTTACCTTAAGTTCATTTGGTAGCTGAGGATGTCTTTGAATACTTCGAGTGCTGGAATTATAGCTGTGCTGCCCACACCCAGTTTTTCGCTTGTTTGTTTGTTTGTTTGTTTTTGTGGTGCCAGAGATTGAATCTAGGGTTTTGTACATGCTGGGCAAGCATTCTACCAACTAAGGCTCATCCCCAGGCCCTGTGCATCATCGAATTGTCTCTTTTAAATCCATCTCAGAAAGTCAGAGTCTTGGATCTCTCTAGCAAAGCTCCCTCTAGCCCACAGCTGGGAGGTGGTGACACCTGGGTCTGTCTCAATCCAAACCCTTACTCTGAATGACTTTGCTACCTGCATGTTAGGGTCTCCAAAGGAATTTAGTGTTTTGAAAGGCTTTCTCCCTCATCTTCCCAGGAAGGCCATGAAATGGAAGCTGAGATCATGGGTTCAGATCTCACAGGACTGAAGGTTAGGCACATGGGTACCACGTTTAGATGAACTGAGAACACGCTTGCCCAGAGGAGTGACCCTAGACAGCTAAGCCTCTTCTAAAACAGCTCCTCTCCAACCCCCACTACTCCTGAGTGATCCGTGTGGCCCTCTGGCTCACAGAGGGTCCAAGTGACCCAAGCCCCCCTGTGGCCATTTCCAAGCAGCAGAGGGTACACAGCATTTTCTGTCAACTTTGGGAAGTCCCAGTGAGGACATTCAGACTCTTGAAATGGATGCAGATAAGAACAGGGAGACGTGGGCCTCGAGGGGACCTGACAGCCCCAGCCCCCACTCTGTGACCTCTGGGCTCAGCTCTGCCCTCCAAAGTGCACAGATTAATTAGAACTGACTTTTCCTTTGGAACTGACTACACAATCAACCGATCTCAAATTGCGATTACAAGCCAGCCATCCTTCCAAAGCCCCAAGCCTTCAATGGGGCACCCGACCCAGGAATTCCCTGGATCACTTCCTGCCAGCCCTAATTACCGGAGGACCTGGGATTTCCACGGTTCCGGGGAAGCAGGAACTCAGTCACCCTTTTCCCCCTGGAAGGACAAACCGAGAACTCTTGCCTGGGACAAAGAGTTATGTCTCCTACCCTCATCTCTACAACTTTTCCAACTTAAGGGCTCCCCAGCCCCTCATCAGGCAATCCCTCATCCCCTGCTAAGAACAAAGATGCTATGTCACTGACCCCCAGTAGGAGAGCCTTGGCCCCAAGTTAGGGAAATCAGTTCATCTCCCTTGCCTGTTGGCCTTTTGCTTGGCTGCAGGACTGACATCGAAGCCCCACCCCTATTCCCTGCAGACAGACTTGGTGCCAAGTCCCTGTGCAGCTTGTCCAACAAACAGTAAATCACCAATTAGGAGGCCACACCCGCTGGCCAGGCTTGTGCCATCCTGTCATCTGTAGAAAGGATGGGTCCTCCTACCTGGAAACTTCAAAGGGCATAGAACCTGTTGATGTTGGGGGTGGGGACTCATGGGGAGAGCATTCCTAGGAGCTGGGACAGGCCTTCAAGATCACTTAGTTTGTCTCTTGAAGCACAGTGACCGCAGTCCCCCCACACACACACATGCAGCTCCCATTCATTGTTTCTTGGCACCATGTTAAAGAACCAGCATCCTCCAAGGGTGGCTGCCAGCCTGGGAGTCACAGTCATCATCTACTGGGCAGAGGGGCCAAGACCCTTTGGGGCACTTGGAGCACCCACTTTGCCCCCTCCCCGCCAGGGAGCCTCTGAGATCCCCACTGGGAAGGTAGAGACAGGGAGGCATCCGAGCCATAGGCTTGGACAGCTGTGAGATCTAAGCCACAAAGCCAAGCACGGAACTGAGCCAGCAGGGTCAAGCTGTGAGCACAGCTCCTTCCACCTGCGCCTTTGGAACTGAAAAGCTCAAGAGGGCAATAGAAAGCCACGGCTTCAAAGTGTGTTGCTGTCCGTCAGCCGTGGCCACGCCTGCCCCTGCTTCCCCCTCTGAAACAGCATCTTGGATTCTGAAGGGTGCCTCGCCCGCGCCCCCCCCCCAGTCCAGGAAGCAATGCTCTCTGGCCTATCCAGAGGTCAGACAGGGCAAGCCCTTAGGCTGGAGCTGAGCAGTGAAGCTAATGAGAGTGGAGAGAGTCCTGGTGTGGGGTCAGCCAGGCGCCCCTGCTTCCTGCCCAACAAAACAACGGCAGGCAGAAGGGAAGTCCTGAGGCCCCCGAAACCAAGATCAGCGGAGGGGGCTGGGGGTGAGAAAGGGGAGCTTAGCCACCCTACAGAGGACTGCTCCCTAGAAGGAAGTAAGGATGGCTGGTTCTTTTGTATGTGTAGGCTTGTCTTCATAAGGTCAAGCCAACTCTAGCTAAGGACTGTTTGGGTTAGCCTGGGGCCCTCACTGTGGGCATGGCTTCTCCTGGTGCACTCCTGAGTAAAACAGCATCCTTGGCCATCCTGGAGACAGAGGGAGGGATAGTGGTGCCCCCACTGAGCCCCCTCCTAGACTTGTGTTTTTACCCAAGGCTAAGACTCCTTTTTCTAGAACCATGGACCAAGCGTCTCCTCTCCAGCTCTGACTGATGTCCTACCATGCAGGCAGCCAGGGCGGGGTTTGGGGGGGGCTGGGAGGGGGAGAAGAATAGATCTAGTCTGATCTGCCTGTGCAAAAGAGAAAGTGTTGACTCAGAAAGGAAAACAGCCACACTGACACGTAGCCTACCACGAGTGGGGATGGAGATTTCAGAGACCTTGCAGAAAGCCCAGGAATAAAACAGGACCCCAGAGCAGCGAGGACCTTCCAAGGTGATATCCCTCCAATATCCCTGCACCCACCAGGGGACTCTGTCTAGAACAGTGCTTCTCAACCTTCCTACGACTACAACCCTTTAATACAGTTCCTCATGTTGTGGTAACCCCCAACCATAAAATTACTTCATTGCTGCTTCGTAACTGTAATTTTGCTACTGTCATAAATCGTAATGTAAATATCTGGTATGCAACCCCAAAGGGGGTCCCAGCCTACAGGTTGAGAACCATAGGTCCAGGGACAGTCAGTGTGATGGAGTCCATTGGAATCTTATCAGCTGACCTGATCCTCTAGAGATGAGTGCCACCCAGGACCCCAAGGGGTCTTTAAGGCCGCTGTGGCCAAGATGGCAAAGTTCAGAGTAGGCCCTCCTGCACCCTCTACTGGCCACAGAGCAGACCTGCCCGTGCTGGCCAGACCCCTCCAGCTGAGCAGGCCAAGGTGGAGAGGATTTATTTGGTGTTTGGACCTAAAGATGGGGGCCTTCTGTAGGACTCAGGCACTCGACTCTAAGAGGATGAATATGATGCAGTGTCTGTCACAGATGGACACGAACGTGTGTGCACAGATGTCAAGTGCAAAGGGAGCTGGGCTTGGTGGCACTAGCCTGTGATCCCAGAAAGTCAGGAGGCTGAGGCAGGAGGCTCACAATCCCATCTGGGCTACAGAGTGAGCACAAGACCTTCTTACACAGCTTAGTGAGACCCTGTCTCAAAATTAAAGGTGAAGACATCTCCTGAGCATAGAGTTCAACAGGAAAGCAATTGCCCGGCATGCATGAATCTCTGGGTTCAGTCCAGTATTAGGGGGAGGGGATACAATGTGAGGACCCAGAACTAGGTCATGGGGACAGTAAAGGGTCTCACGGAGTCATAAATACGGCTTTGAACTGAGGAAGTAGCAGAGAACCGTGAGGCCATGGAAGTGGTCAGCGCTTTTAGGAACACAGTGGTCAATCTTCGGAACAGGAGCGCAGGAGCTCCCGTGTCTTTTTATCTGTGGGCCCTGGGGACCGTGAAGTTGAAAACCTCATTATCTAGGCTGTGTGCTGGGAGACTTGGAGATACCAGTGGGGAGGGGTCAGCATGGAGGAAGAGAATGGGAGTCCCTCGCCTTTGCCTGGAGAAGGGAGGGCAGAGCTGTCCTGTGGGGTGGCAGGGAAGAGAGTCGGAACAGATGAAACCGTACAGGTCAGCTGGGGGCTCCAGTGGGAGTCAGTGTGCCTGGATTTGTCACCCGCAGCATCACGTGAAGCACAGCCAGCAGGCTGGCAGGGTGCTGCTGCATCTTCACATCCTACTGGGGTGTCCTGTGGGGTTCGGTGCATGAGGCAAGAGTTAGCCCCGCTAGACAATTGGGTTATTGCCATCTTGACTCAACCTTTTCTTGGCCCCCTTTTGTCACTGGCTGTCATCTCCTGGCCCGTTTCATGACGGAGTGACTGCCTGCCTTCCTGGTGCCCCTTCCTCCTGTAGATATGGCAGTCATAAGGGGAGAAGAAGACATTGAAAGTTAAGAAGGGCAGAGCTGAGGTGGCACCGCCCTGCCCGTGAACCCCAGAAAAGCTGCAGCGAGCTGCTATGTGTGGCCAGGCAGGATCAGAAAGGGGGTTGAAAAATGAGCTGCAGCTCACAAGCCCAGAGAGGTTGGGAAGAAGAGGCCCTGGATGAAAGTAGAGACATGCACATGTCTGGTTCAGCAGTGGGCACCATGTTAGCAAACCTGTGGCAGGGTAGAAAGGTCTATAGAAGGTAAGTAGCCACATGGCTGCTCTTGCCATATCCTGACTCCAGGCCCAGCATAGTGGAGGCAGGAGCATCCTCAGCAAAACCAGTTCAGGGCCATCTCCCTAAGTTTAATTCGTGTGAGTGTGTGTGTGTGTGTGTGTTCTTGTTAATTTCAACCCCCATCCTCCTCTTTGTCTCTCTCCCTTTCTCCTCTACACCTGTGACTTGGGTCTTCCTGCCAGATGGTGTCATGGAACAGAGGGAGGGGAGTGGCCTGTGTGGCCGATGCCGTGGCAGGGTCCTCAGAACTCATGGGGGTTGGATGCTCAAGCTTGTAGGCTATAATGCCGAATGTGGTCCTTGTCTCATGGTTTCTCTTGTTTCTTTTTCCAGGGAGAGCGAGGCATGCCGGGGATGCCGGGCAAGCATGGCGCCAAGGTACCCATCCCTTCCTGTGCCTGTTCCTCTCCCAAACTCTGGGAATGTTAGTTCCTTCCTTCTCACAACCTGGGGTACACACTCCTTCAACCCTCTTCTTCCTATATCTGTCTTTGCTAACATGAGTGAGGCTAGTGTAATGTGGCTCTAATCACCTCCTAGGATTTCTGGATCATAAAATCCTTCACAGGTAATCAGCTGTCAGCTCTAGTATGGTCCTGAGGACCCCCCAAAAAAACCCACAAGAACCCCAACACCCTCCACTTGGGCTTTTCAAAAATATTTATTTATTTATTTATGATGTATACAGTATTCTGCCTGCATACACCCCCCTTCAGTCCAGAAGAAGGCACCAGGTCTCATCACAGATGGTTGTGAGCCACCATGTGGTTGCTAGAAATTGAATTTAGGACCTCTGGAAGAGCAGCCAGTGCTTATAACCTCTGAGCCATCTCTCCAGCCTCATTTTGGGCTTTTCTGAGTGGCACTTTGAACAACATTTTCACCTCAAAAGTATGTGGTCTTGGGGAAACATTAAAATGAATTTCATAAACCAGGTGTGGTGGTACACACATGTAATCCTGCACTTTGGAGGATCAGGAGTTCAGAGCCAACCTGGAATATATATCCAGTTCAAGGCCAGCCTGTGCTACATGACACCCTGACTCAAAATTAAAAAAAAAAAGAGGAAGATGGCTCAGCATAGCTTACTGTAAAACTGTGTGAGTATGAGGACCTGAGTTCGGATCCCCAGCATCCATGTAAATGGGGTGGTTCGTGTCTATAATCCCAGCGATGGGAAGAGGAAACAGGAGGGTCCCTGTGGGCTTGCTGAACAGCCTGTCTAGACAATCATGAGTGCCAGGTTCAGTGAGAGAAACTTAAGATAGAGAGAGAGAGAGCAATAGGGAAAGAACCTGACATTGACCTCTGACCTCCACATGTGGGCGTGTGATTCTACAAACACATGTGCATACACAACATATACCACACACAGAGAAGAAGGGGTAGGGTTTGCTCCCAGTTCTTGAGGGCAGATGTCTAGAGAGCTGTGGGTGTCAGTAACCCCACTTAGACACAGGGGTGCACTAATCTTTGGTGAAACCAGCATCTTCCTATGGCGTTGCCTGGTAGACCCCACCCTTTGACCATGGGGACTTACTAGCCTAAGCCTCACTGTCCCCACTGAACATCCCAGGGAAGTCCTGGCAATCCAGAAGGTGGTTCCATCCTTAGGTGCACTCTTGGGGTGCCCAACTCAGCCTGTCGTATTCTCTCTTACTCTGGGGCAGGACCATCTGTCAGTCAGCAGACATGTGTAGACCAGGCAGAGCTGCTCTGCTAGCTGCCCCTGACCTCAGAGACCTTCATGCTTTTTTTTTTCTCTTTTCCCTCCACCAGGGGACTCCTGGGATTGCCGTGGCTGGGATGAAGGTCGGTAAACACTGTCACTCGGTGTGTTAGGGGCACACTGTCATGAAACCACAGAGCTGGAGCTTGGGGCCTTAGCAGCATGGCAGCTGGACCCAGGGGAGGACAGAGGATTCAGCCAGGTCTCCAGTCTCTGCTACAGGGCCTCCCTAGTCTGCCACTGAGAGAAGCCACCTCTTTTCCCACACTGCAGAATCCACTGTCGTGGATTTCCAAAGCCTCTGAGAGGAGAGCCAACATCTTTTCCCTGAGTCCTTAACTAAGCCAGTGGGTACCATAGGGGTTCCCAATGGTACCCAATGCTGATCTTTGCAGAAGCTTGACTCAAAGGGGGCACCACCACCACCCTTCCTCCTGGGATGCCGCTAAGCTGCCCATCCTTCTAGGGCAGTGGTTCTCAACCTGTGGGTTATGACCCCTTTGTGGGTCCTGCCTTTCACAGGGTATAGATCATAAGTATGGATATTTACATTACAATTCACTACAGTAGCAAAATTACAGTTAGGAAGTAGCACCAAAAGTAACTTTATGTTTGGGGGGGTCACCGCAGCATGAGGAATTGTATAAAAGGTCTCAGCGTTAGGAAGGTTGAGAACCACTGATCTAGGGAGAAGATGAGACCCTTAGGAGCAGCTTCCCAGAAGGCAATTGTCCTGGAATTTCCCCTGAGCAGAGGAAGTGCCCCTCCCCCCAGCCCTTGCTGCTGCTTTGCCTCTCTCCCTTTCTTCACTCATGTCTTCTTTGTTTCCACACAGGGCGAGCCAGGGACTCCAGGAGCCAAGGTACTGGTGGAAAGGGAATCCTATGGGGCATAGAGAAATGAGATGGGCTGTGGGGTGAGGCCAACAGGGACCACAGTTTTGCTTCCAGCCCCCACCCCGGGGGCTGGGGGGAGGCTGTGGCAGGAAGGTCACAGCTCAAATCAAGCCCGTTGAACTTGGCAAGACTTCTTGTCAAGGGAACGGCAAAAGAGCACCACAGCTGCTGGTGGTGCACTTACCTGGCTTGCGGGAGGCCTCAAATCCAATCCTTGGTGCAGGCCTTGGTGACAGGGAGTGCGCCAATGCGCTAAACGCGCACTGGAAAATCCTAAAGAGCCAATGTGGTACGCACTATCCATATGCTCATCTGAACACTTCGTTTACAAGGAGCCTGAGGACAGTTGTCTGGGAGCCCTGGTCTCTGATTTTACCCATCATCCCCTCACCACCGTGTCCATTTATCAATGGCTTTCTCTTATTTCTATGAGAGACGCAGGGAAGCTGGGGCCCCAGGTGTGCTGGGAAAGAAGGGACGGGGTGGGTAGGACAGAATGGCCTCAGGAGACCCCTGCGCCAGGGGCTCTACCCTATAGCTCCTGTAGGAGCTGGGTAGGCATGGTGTGGAAGAAGGGGATGTGGCATGGACCAGCAAACCTGGGGACACAAACCCTTCCAGAAGTCCTTGGCTACCAGTGAAAGGCCAGGGGACAAGGCCAGGGGACAAGGGCCGTACCTCGTCGATCTTGTTGCAGAGCATCCCTGTAGGTAGGACCAGTATCTTTTGCTCCAGCTATTGGGAGTCCCCAGGCTAAAACCCATCCCAGAGGCAGACCAGACAAGGCTAGGCAGCAGGGCGCTAGTCAGGCCTGCCTTTTTCCCATCCCAGTGGTCCTTGCCAGGCTCCTGCCTGGCTCTCTACCTCCCTTCCTGTCTCCATACCAGGCAGCCTATATCCAAGGGCAAGCATCAGGAATGACACTTAGAGACTCCGTGTGGCATTTTTCCTGGCTCCAGCTGGAAAGGTCATTAAGACAGTGGCCCCAGAGTCCCTCAGGCCATATTCTTGTGCATAGGAATGTCATTATCACACTCATTTCAGTGGAGGCAAGAATTCTAATGCCAACCTGCTTCAACTCCCTACTGGTGGGGCACGCTTTCCAGTGGGCACTGCTGTGGAGTGAACTATACCCTCTAAAATCCATATGCTAAAGCCCAGCACCCCAAGGTGTCTGCACTAGAGGACAGGGCTCTTAGGGGATAATAAAGGTTAAATGAGGTCACTAGGATAGGACCCTAATCTGATGACACTGGTGGCCTTATCAGAAGAAGATAGTCTTCCTCTTGGACAAGTGAGAACAGACAGAAAACAGCCATCTACAAGCCAGGAGAGAGCCCTTCCCTTCTCCCTCGCACAGGCACCCAAATGGCAGTATGGTATGATAACAGCCTGGACGTCTGCTATCTCAGCCACCAATGCCTGCTATTTTGTTAAGATGCCTTGCTGACTCATACAGACACTGTGGAAGCAACATGAATACTGTGCCTTAAAAGGTGGAGCATGGGGTACCTAGGAGAAACTGACTCCTGCCATTAGCTCAGTAAGGGGCTGTCCAAAGCCACCTACCTCATGGAGCATGCTGTCCCCACCTATGAAATGAGGCTTGGATTCCAGTAACCCTACAGGACTCAGTGATTCATGCCACGGGGACAGATAGCCAAGTTCTTCAACATTGGACAAAGCAGGAGCAAGGAGACTGCATCAACGATCCTCAGACCAAATGTATTCAACAGCAAACTTGCATCCTCTAGAGCCCTCGAGGCCAGAAGCCCAAAGGCGGGGTGTAGCAGGGAAGGTGACATTCTGAGGCTTTTGCCTCCGGAGCAGTTTATGACAGCATTCATGTCCATTCAGCTTGCAGAAGCCTCACCTCATCTACCTCCGTCTCCACCTAGCATCTGTGTGTCTGTGTCTGTGTGTCTGTCCGCCTGTCTCCAGACGTCCCCAACCTATAATGTCATAGAAGCATTGGGCTCTGTCTACTCTGGCATGACCCCCTTCGTATTTGATCTTGACTGATCTTCAATGACCCTATTTCAAAAAAGAAAAAGGTCATTTTCTGTAGTACTAGAGGTTAGGACTTCAACACCGAACTTTGCTGGAACACAAATTTGGCCCATGACACAAACCTCGAAAAGGGCATTCTGGCATATAGGTTCTATGTAGAGACAGGAGGAGGACAGAGAAGATAGGGAGGTGGGGAAGGACAAGGGGGACAGATGTAAAGACATGAAGTAGAGCAGAGTGCATATAAAGGGGAATTCCCAAGCTCTCGCTTTCCAAACTGCCCTCCTCCCTGCTTCCGGGGCTCTCAAGAGAGGGGCATTCAAACCTGTGGCCAGGGTTTCTTCTGCATCCTGAGAATTCTAAGAGCCAGGCTCATGTGGGAGCAGAGCAGGGATGCGGGCCATTGCCCATGTAAAGTGCTTCAGGAAAGAGGAAGTCAGGACAGAGGTCCAAGAGGGGGCAGAGGCACTGCAAACCAGGAGAGCCACTCGGGAGGCAGGGGCAGGGGCAGGGGCAGGGGCAGGGGCAGGGGCAGGGGCAGGCAGAGCTCTGTGAGTTTGAGGACAGCCTGGCCTACAGAGCGAGTTCTAGGACAGCCAGGGCTATGGGAGTAGTGTGCGAAGAGGGTAGGGGTGCTGTCTCCCCAGACATCCTGAAGAAGCTGTTCTTAATCGCTCTGTCTCTCTCCTTTCCCATTGCCCTCCCCCTCCCTCCCTGCAGGGTGAGAAGGGAGCTACAGGCTCTCCTGGGCTCTCTGGCCTCTTGGGGCAGAAGGTAAGTGGGTACACATTTTCAGTGGTGGATGGTGGGCTCTCTGCAAGTCCTGGTGTCTCCTTGGCCCTGTACATTCCCAGACTAGGGGAAAGCAGCTGGGGCACAGCCAGATGGAGGTGTGGACCCCACAAGATGGCCCAAGACTGTCCCGATCTGAAGAATTCAGTAGCTAGTCAGACCTTGCTTGGATTTCTTTGTGCAGGCTCTGAAAATCAACTCATTTAAATTGGTTATTTATTTGCGCATTTGTAAGCATGCATGTGTTCCTATATGCGCTCCTGTGCATGGGGCACATGTGCGTGTGCATATGGAGGCCAGAGGTCTACTGTGGTTTTTGAGACAGTGTTTTTTCTGCAGGACCCCTGCTTGACAATTCAGCTAGGCTGAGCCTCAGGGATCTGCCTTCCTCATCGCCCCTGCCAGCCTTGGGACTATAAGCACATGGTACCATACCTGGCTTTTCACTGTAGGGATGGAGGCAGGGGTGCTGCTGGGAATCCAAAGCCTCATCCTTTAGCTTGTGAGGCACATCTGCTTAGGTTCCTTAAACTAATTTTTAAAAGTAAGCCATTTTAAAAAGACTTGAGGTCCGGTGGTGGTGCATGCCTTTAATCCCAGCACTTGGGAGGCAGAGGCAGGTGGATCTCTGTGAGTTCGAGACCAGCCTGGTCTACATGAGCTAGTTCCAGGATAGCCTCCAATGCCACAGATAAACCCTGTCTCAAAAAAAAAAAAAAAAGACATGAGGTCCATTATGTCTGGAGAGAGCTACACAAGAGAAGCCTCCAGAAGAGTTGTGGTCAAAGACCCTGAGCATGCAGGACTGAAGAGGTAGACAAAGCTTCCTGTCAACACTGCATATTCTCAACCCACCCAGGAGCATGCACTGTCTGAGACCCCAGTGTAACTTGTGCCCTCACCCCCTGCCTCAATGGCCAACATCACACTGGTCGCTGGTGGCAGGGTTGACCCTTCAATGCCCTTTCTGCAGTCGGCCTCAGGACTCCCAGTCTGCTGCTCTTCTTTGTTGGGCAGGAGTCGGTCAGCCACCTCCCCCAGCGTGGAGAACCAATGACATCACTCTGCTTTCCATCCCCAGGGAGAAAAGGGTGATGCAGGCAATGCCATTGGAGGAGGCAGGGGGGAGCCTGGCCCCCCAGGGCTCCCTGGGCCCCCTGGGCCAAAGGTGAGTCTTGGCTGGCCCTATGTCGACAGATGTGGAACCCCAAAGCTGGGCAGGTGGACAGCACTGGGAGGGCAAGGTGCTAAGCGTGGCGGCGGCTGCCTTCCCGGCATCCTAGAGAAACAGCTGCAGCCTAGCTCCGCAGGAGCTGCGGCTTCGCCAGACCCAGCAGCATCACCACCCCATGCTCTCTGGCCTGGCATCATAGCTCATTAGGTTTCCACAGCCTGGGTGTCAATGGGGACTTGGAGGTGCCTGGCCACCATGTCTTCTGATATAGGGAAGGGGAATTAGAAAGCTGTATTCCCAAACTCTGGTCTGCTTCCCAGGACTACTAAAAGACGTGCAAGAATGGCCCCTGCCATCACACCTCTCTCCGTGCAGCCCATCCTGGACTCATGTGGATCTCTCTCCCTGACTCTTAGGGCCTCCATGTCCCCTTCTGTTGCCCAGGCAGGCAGGACCTGGCTCTCTAGCAGCTGATCCGACTGCCCCGGGTGTCCTCATCCCCTCTCTTTTCTCCCCAGGGAGAAGCTGGTGTCGATGGCCAGGCTGGGCCCCCAGGACAGCAAGGAGACAAGGTAAAGTCCCCCACCGTCAGGAACAGCAGAATGAGGGTAGTTTGGGGGTGTTCAAGCACAGCTCAGGAAACCAACTATCCCTCTCCTCCCTGGAATCCACTGCTGACCCCAGGCTAGCCCAGCTATGACTGTGGCTTCTGATTGCACCTTTTGACTTGGACCTCAGAGAAGCATCCACTGAGACAATGGGCATGCAAAAGCCTGCCTGGAGAATGGGGATTTGAGTACAAGCCCTGGCTTAGAGTAACTTCCCGAGCCACAGATCTGGACGGAGAGCTCCTGTCTGTCCAGTTCTCTCTGCCTCTTTCTCAGGCCTGTGATAACCGAAATGCTGAGGTGGAAGGGACACAGAAGGCAGTCCTCAGAGGGGCAGTGGCAGGGTCACCTGAGTTGACAAAGTTTTCAGTTTCTCTTTATGTTTGACTTTGCGTTCACATTATCCCGGAAAAGCTGGATGTGTGATTTGTCCTTCTCTTGACATGACTATCCCGTCTATTCCATGTCACCTGCTCCTATTTCCAGTAGGAGCATCCCCCCCAGACCCTAGCCCACTCTAGGACATCAGTGTCCCTCTAGCTGTGACATTCCTGGACTCTGTGTTTCACCCTGTGGTTCTTTCTGTCCCCGGGAGAGAGGTTCCTAAAAGGACCACAGGGGCTTATTGAGGCCCTCACTGAAGACCAGGCAGTGAGCCCCTGCAGTTGGTGCAGAATGGAAATCAGAAGAAGCAAAGGGCTGGATACCTGCTGCCAAGGTTGTGACTGGGTTAGGGAACTGAGCAAAGGTGGCTAAAGGGACAGAGGAGAGTCACTAACAGGACAGAAAAGAAGGGATGTCATTAAGTGCAAAAGGAGGAGGACCCTGAGGAACTCAAACTCGGAGGAAGAAAGTGTGGGCAGGCGTCAAGGATGTTTCTGGAAGGGGGCAGAGTCCACACTGAAGCATACAGGGAGTTTGTCCTGTTGACTTGAGCCAAGACGAATGAGCCGCTTGGCCGCACTGTGGTTCCTGAAGTGTAGCTCACCTGAGGACATCAGTGTTCTCACATCCAACCTTATCCACCACGTCTCTCATTTGTCATGCAACAGGGGCAGCCAGGAGCCGCTGGGGAACAGGGACCAGCTGGCCCCAAGGTATGTTCGTCTATCACTGGCGTTGTAGCATGAAGGGACTGGAACCTGAGCTCTTGGAGGGGTGGGAAGAGAATTGTGTGCTAGCCCTAGGAGGGAGGTCTGCCTATCCAGGTGACTAAACTTATCCATTTCCGGGGCTGTCTAGTCTTGAGTGCTCAAACACGCACTGCTGGCTTGTTCTGAAAAGCCTTGAGCACCCTGACAAGCAGTCCTGGGCGCCCCATGCCACCCTGTGTCCGGGCAGGTACAGGGACCACCACCAGAGACTACAGGTCCTCGGGCCTCTCCTGTCCCAGGCTGTAACTGAGAGTTCCTCTGTCTTTCAGGGCTCTAAGGGTGAACCCGGCAAGGGAGAGATGGTGGATTACAATGGAAACATCAACGAGGCACTTCAGGTGAGTAGGCTCTGCTGTGGAGGCTGGAGACCTCCAAGTCCTACTGGAGGTCTTAGCCCATGGCTAATACTTGGCACATGACTCCCAGGCACCTCTTCTCCTGGTAGGAGCTGCCTCTGCCTCCCTAAAACAGTTTTCTGTCAGTTTCATCCTGTCTCAAGTTCATGAGCCCCCATCTTTTTTGTTTGTTTTTGTTTTTTATTTATGCTCTTACCTTACATACCAACCACAGTTCCCCCTCCTACCTCTCCCCCCACTCCCCATCCCACCTGCCCCCATCCACCCCTCCGAAGGGGTAAGGCCTTCCATGGGGAGTCAACAAAGCCTGGCACAATAAGTTGAGGCAGGATCAAGCCCCTCCCCCTGCATCAAGGCCAAACAAAGCATCCCACCGTAGGGAATGGAGCCTCTATCTTAAGTAAGTGCCTCTGTCTTGGCACAGTTGTTCATGGCTGGATCATGTAGGAGTAACTGGAAGAGCCGCCCTTCAGAGGGACATGACTGCAGGGGAGGCCTCCAGCTAATTGTACTGTGTTGTTTTTCAGGAGATCAGGACACTGGCCTTGATGGTAAGTTGTGCTCATCCCTGATTTTCCCTCAGGCCTTGGGCTGGCCACAAAGAGCACGGTATAGAGTTCTGACCTCCAGAAGGCATTTACTGAGCTTCTGGGTCATGCCAGGCAGGGGGTGCACCAATCCTGAACAGGGGCAGGAGCTATGCCTCCTGTATCAGGGCTGTTGGTGGTGACAGTCCCTCATCTCTCCAGTGGTTCACACAGGCACAATGTGAACTCATGGCTGTATTTACAGCATCTCCTGGGGCATGGTGTCTGTCTGTCTCTGTCTCTCTCTGTCTCTCTCTGTCTGTCTCTGTCTCTCTCTGTCTGTCTCTGTCTCTCTGTCTCTGTCTCTCTATCTCTGTCTCTCTCTCTCTCTCTGGAAAATAAGTAGCAGCTGTCTTTGCAATCTCAGTATCTGTGCCCGGAAAACCCCTGGATATTCCATGCTGGGTTCTGCACATGTGCCGACCAGTGGCAGGCTTGAAGGAAACATTTGTAGTTACAACTGTCACCAACTTCAACCTCCACAGTGGAAAGGAAAGGGGTCCCAAGGTTCTTGAACTGTGGTGGGGGAATCTCTGTATACAGTAGGATGATACACAAGGTGGTTCTCGTCTATAGTCCCAGGACTCAGGACGCAGAGGCAGGAGGGTCACCCCAAGTTCAAGGCCAGTCTGGTCTCTGTAGTGAGTTCTGGAGTCACCTACAAGACCTTGTCTCAAACAAACAAACAAACTGCATTTCCAGGGACATCTCTCTCATCCCTGGACACTGGTAAAAACCACAAGGTTCTAGAACCAGTAGGCTTCATTTAGGAACATTAGAATATGTGATTTTAAAGGGCCATTAGAGGTAAGGGGGATAGCTCAGTCAGGAACTGCTTGCTGGACCTTTGAACACGAGGACCCAGGTTTCGTCCCCAGAACCTATGTAAAAAGCCAAGTGTTGGGCTAGTGAGTTGGCTCAGCAAATGAAGGTGTTTACTATACATGCCTGGAGACCTGAATTTCATCCAGGTAAAAGAGAGAATCAGTTCCACAAAGTTGTCCCCTGACCTCACATCCATGGTGTACTTTGTGTACACACACACACACACACACACACACACACATATACACACACACACGGTTGAGGAAATGTTATGTTTGAAAGTGACGGATCCCTGTAAACCAGCAGCACATACAGCCCTCTGGTGACAGCCACCCCTCCTGCTAGAAAATCCTTCCTTTCCTTCCTAGGGTCCTCCTGGTCTTCCTGGACAAACAGGCCCACCTGGACCTCCAGGGAGCCCAGGTCAAAGGGTAAGCCTGGGGACTGGGAAGGGGGGGGCTGGGGAGGTGGGGAGCAGAGTCAGGCATTTAAAATGCTGAAAGCATCGTACATTCTGAGCACCCCCATGTTGTGTGACCCCCCAATGTTACCAGTACCACCATGCTTGCCTGTCATCCCTCTCTGTACCTTAGACCACCCACTCCAGTCCCCTCGGTGCTGGCCTCAAGCTCTGCCATTCTTCCCTGGCAATAGGCTGGTTTTGCCCTTCAGAGACCCCCTCAGATACAGTAGGATCTGGAACATGCCCCTAGTTACAGCCACCAGACCCAGGCTACCCCTTTCCAACTCTCACCTCCCTCAGTGCCTTCGCCGTTCTTCCCGTCCTCCGCCCACCCTTTCCTCTGCTTTTCTAGAAGAAACCTTGGGTTTTCTCTCTGCCTCTGAGAGCCTGCCCTCCTCCAGGGAGCCTTCTCCAGGAAGTCACTCCAGACCCATGCAGCGGAATTAGCTGCCTCTCCCCCTGTTCCTTCCTACATCATGTTACCACCCTTCCCCCGTCCCCAGCCTAAATGAGGAAGGGTCTGAGATTGCGGTGAAGTGGATCAGAGCTCCTTGCAGGCAGTGAGACCAGGAGGGTTGGGCTAAAGTGACCAGGAGCTGTGGGATGTTCAGGGCTCTCAGAGATAGCTGTGTGACACTGCGGCTAAAACATGGGTCGCAAGATGCTCAGCTCCCCTCACCACTATACTTTGGGATCCTGAGGCAACCAAAGGCGTGCCTTCTGGAAGCTGTGGGAGCAGGGGCAGGGTACCAAGGAGGTGGGCATTGGTGCATTGGCTCTAAACCCTTTCTGTTGCCCCTGCTGCAGGGGGAGATTGGACTGCCAGGCCCTCCAGGACACGATGGGGACAAGGTAAACAACACTGTCTACGGCAAGGATTCTGCAGGTGGTTCTCACCCAGGGAGTGTGGACAGGAGGGCTCAGGAGGAGGTCCAGCCAGGAAAAGTTGGAGGGCTAGGAAGAGGAGTTCAGCTGCACACTAGCAGAGCCAGCCTGGGGATCTCTTTATCAGCTCCCATCCAGCCAGTGCCAGCGACCCCAGCCTTTAACCACCAACCCTTCTCTGATCTTCCTCTCCCCCCTCCTCTTTTCTCCACTAATATCCCTAAGAAGTGCCATTAATATTTCTATAGGGACCTCGAGGAAAACCCGGAGACATTGGGCCCGCTGGCCCCCAAGGGCCCCCAGGAAAGGATGGGCCTCCGGGGATGAAGGGAGAGGCTGGACCCCCAGGGAGCCCCGGGGAGAAAGGGGAGACAGGACCAGCAGGCCCCCAGGTAAGTGTCTGGGCAGCTGGTACCTTGCATGTACCACCTCCATCCTGACATGGGCTCTGCATGCTGCCTGCTGCTCCCGAGTTCAGAGAACCAAGATTTAATTGCTGCCACCACCTGCCATGCAACTCACTTTATGAAGGCTGGTATCCTGTAGGGTCCCTACTCAAGAGACCTGAGTCCTGTGCCAACCTCATCTCTGTCCTTTGGAAAGTCACTGGGCCTTGCAGAGCCTCAATTTGTCACCTCTAAAATGGGAATAACAATGCCTTTCCTTGGATCCCCGTCCCCCATGAAATACTGAAAAAGGCCCAGACAGGGCTATGAGTCTACTTCTCCAGGAGCATGTGGAAGCCCTAATCAGAAGAGTTTGCATGAATGGAAAAGACCCCCTGCCCAGTCCAGCAAGGCTGCTGACTTAGCTGAGGAGCTTTTCCTGGGCATCAGTAGTTCCATCTGTGAAATGGCACCCCCCTTGGACACCCACCCTCGGAGGGAGGGAGTCACGCATGTATGCATGCCACAGATGGGCACATTTGCTCAGTGTGATGACGCCGAGCTTCACTGACAGAGATCTTTGTCAATCCGTAGGGTCTAGACGGCCCAACTGGGGAGAAAGGAGAGCCAGGTGACGAAGGGAAGCCCGGAGCAACAGGATTACCTGGGCCCATCGGGCTCCCGGGATTCACAGTAAGGCGAGAGGACTGGGCGTCAAGCGTGTCCACAGGCAGTTGCAGATGAGGGCACAGGAGCGAGGGGCTCCTCACTGGGGCCAACAGCCTAAGAGTGCCAGGCATCACGCCAGGCTACAGTCGCCTGGGCCTGTCAGCAGGTCTGGAGTCCTGATTGGATCTAAACAGAATTCTAGTTTCTTTCGTACACACCGTGGTGGCATCTGTCTTCAGGTGCTACTTGGCCCAAGGGTGCTTGACTCAGACATGGAATTCCCATCTTAGAACTAGAAAGAGACAGGCAGGTCCTTGGAGTGTACAGGCCAGCCAGCCTAGCTTAGTCAGTGAGCTCCGGGTCGCCCAAAAAAGCAGGGAGAGAGAAATCGAGCAAGCAAACCAGGCAGGCAACCTGGGGAACATTTGAGGTTGACACCCTGCCTCCCACACCCACACACCAACATAAAAACAGTAAAAGAACCTCAGAGGTCGAATGTGACTCAGTGGACCCTGAAAGTGAATGCCTACCCAGCAGGGCCAGGCGAGTAGGTAGATGACTCACAGCTTCTCAGCTCATCCACTCCAAGATGGAAGCTAAGCTCCTGGGCTTGGTGTTATCTCTTCCCTGTCCTCCCCCAAGGCTCTGGGATCTGAGCTGTATTCGCTTTCTATTGGTATTCCATGGGCCATCACAAACAGCAGCTTTTAAAATGGCACACCTTTGTCATTCTGTATTTTCTGTGGCTTAGGAGCCAAGGCCTGTCATCGTTGGGTTCCCCAACCAGGGTCTCCAAGGCTGCAGTCAAATCAGTGGCCATCTGTGTTCTTGCTTGGAGTCTATAGTCCTCTTCCAAGTCACTAGCTGTTGACAAGGCTTGGTCCCTTGCCATAGTAGGACTGAGTCCCCCAGCTCCTGCATGCCACCTACAATTCCTGGCCACATGGTGGACAATCCACCTCACAATAGTTTATTTCTTGAAGGTCATCTAGAGGATTTTTCTAGAATCTAGAACTAGCAAGACAGAGCCACGTACTCGCATGTGTCTATATGCGTGTGCATACATCTATAAAATGTCTTAGCATGTGTTACATCTTCCTATGTATAGCACATGTATGTGATGGTGTGTACAATAGTCACAGGAGTGACAGGCAGCGTGGTACCACATTCCCTCTTCCGAGACTGAAATTCAAGTCACGGTTCCACCCTGCAGCCTGTCTGCTGCAGGAGCCATACACAGGACTAGCCCTTCTCCCAACACTGGAGTCTCACATCCTTGGAGATGGTTGTCACAGGGCCATCTCGGCCCACTGTCCTGTAGGCTGGCTATCTATGTAGCTTCCCCAGGAGCAGCCTAGTCCTCGTAGGTTATCACAGATGTGAGGGTGGGCCTGTGGCCAGACTCCTGGCTACCATCTCACACTGGGATGTTTTTGTGCCCACAGGGAGAAAAAGGAGAAGCTGGAGAGAAAGGGGACCCAGGAGCGGAGGTAGGTTGACCCTGCTCTTCCTTCCCTGTGATCACCTGACAAGGGTGCCACTAGAAATACCAGTTTTTCTCCAAGTTGCTTAGCATCTCTGACTGGGAAAGGCCAGAAGCTGGGCAGCTGTCAGGTGCTGAGTCCCAAGGCTGCCCTGGTCACACACTGACCAGTTTCTGGAGTACTCAGAGAACACCCTGAGGCTCCAGTAGGCACAGGAAAATAAATAGAACATAGAAACTGCCTGGCTGTGCCACAGAGGTTGAGGGTTGAGCCATTTGTGCAAGTTCTGAACGACCATGTAGGACTTTGTCACAGAGTTTCAGAGGAATACTTCCGGGAGAAGTGAGATTCTTCGAGAGGAAGGGTGAGGAACAAAATCAGTCTGGAAACAGGTGGGCTTTGTGCACAATGGAGAACGCTGTGCATATTTGTCCAGGGAAAGCAGCAGACATCTTGGCAATGGAATGGAGTTTGGCAATAAGGCCTGAGTAGTCCAGTAACCACCAGAGAGCAAAGCGAGAGACCACAAAGCTTCATGGTCCCCCGAGAGGTTCCCTGGCCCGTCACCCTTTAATGTCACCAACCCCTTCTGAATTTAGTGAAACGAACCCAAGTACGCTACCATTGTTCCTTATTTAAGAACACCCTAAAGAAGTAATTCTAAATTCTAGAAAAGCATTAAACACACAAATGTTCCTTCAAAAAGTATTTCAAGTGAAAATTGAAAACAGACAGTGTTCCTAACAAGAAGGAAGGGATTAAAACCCTTAGGCTAATAAGCTGATGGTAGTAGTTTTGTCCATGGTTGAGGGCCTTCCTCACGCCAAGTGCCATTCTCGGCCCTGTCTAGGTGGACAGATGCCCTCCTACTCAAGGGCCAGTGCGTCATCAAGGAAGGAGGCTCATGGGGGAACACACCCAAAAACAGAAAATCTAGTTTCACATCGACTATAAAAGACTAGAAAACCAAATTATATTTATGTATCCTTGTAAGCACATGAATATATCCAGTTATAAATGATACATCCGGCCTGGCGGTGGTGGCGCATGCCTTTAATCCCAGCACTCGGGAGGCAGAGGCAGGTGGATCTCTGTGAGTTCGAGGCCAGGCTGGACCGACAGCCTCCAAAACAATACAGAGAAACCCTGTCTCGTAAAACCAAAAAAATAAAAAAATAAATGATACATCCAAAAAAATAGGGAAGAAATCAGGTGAAATATTAGAAGTCTTTCTTAATTAATATGGCTGAAATGTATTACTTTTTCTCCTTTCAATTCTTTCTCATTCATAAAATATTCAATAAGTCTGTGTTACTTTTAAACACTTGTTTTTGTTTAGTTTGTTTTCCTCAAGGCAGGGTTCCTCTGTGTAGCCCTGGCTGTCCTGGAACTCACTTGTAGACCAGGCTGACCTCAAACTCACGGAGATCCTCCTGCCTCTGCCTCCCGAGCACATCACCATGCTCAGTGGGGTCTGGGTTTTTACAAGCACTCTTATAATCAGATCCATACATTATTTATTTATAATAAGAAGTGTGTGTGTGTGTGTGTTTGGCCTTCACACAAGCTACCCAAATGCTCTGCCGCTAAGCTGCAGCCCCATCCAAGTGCCTCAGTTTCATTTCTGTTGCTGTGATTAAATGCCCTGAAAAAAAAACTTGGAGGAAGAAAGGGTTTCGTTTAGCTGACAATTCCAGGCTGTAGTCCATTATTGCAGGGAGGCTGGAGTTGTGGAAGCTTGAGTTGGTTGGTCACATCAAGTCCATAGTCAAGGACAGAGAGAGATGAATGCATGTGTGCTTGCTGACTTACTCGGCTTCATTCCTCCACTCATGCAGTTCAGGAATCCCCCCCCCCAGCCTAGGGAATGGTGATACCCACAGTGGGCTGGCTCTTCCCATGTCAGTTAACTTACTAATTTAACACAGACATGGCCACAAGTCAACCCAAAGTGAATAATCCCCGAGACTCTTCTAGGTTTCGTCAAGTTGACAAAGCCAACCATTAAGCCATGCACAGGAAACTTTTCAAAGACTGTCTACTCAACAAGGAGATTGCCATTGAGCGGAAACACTCCAGTCCAAAGGACATTGGTATCTTCCTGTCCAGCCTGAATCTCTCTTTGCTGCATCTGTCCTCAAAAGAAATACAACCAACTGTCCCTGGCCTACCCATTACAAACTTGGGGTGGAGCTAGTCTTGAAGAATATTCTGCAGAGATATCTCAGTCTCCCTTGGCTTCAGATAGCCAGTCTCCACTCCCATAAGCCAGTATCTCAAACTCGCATGTCTGCAAGGTTGAGGCAATACATTAATGCCAAGAGGCCAGAGTTGAAGATAGCAGGGGGTGGAGTCTGGGCAGACTGGAGACCATGTTCCACCTAGACAGCAGGACTCTCCTTTTTTTTCTGGGCAATGGTTACCATGCACAACGTGGCGCGTATCCACTGCTAGCTAAGCCATGTTTCAGGGTAGCCTGGAGGAGTAGGTGATCTGGAGACATTTTCTAAAAGTGTTCTGGGGCCAACACTGTGTTTGCCCTGCATTCCTGTCCTGAGTCTCCTTTAGGAAGGTTGTATATTGGCTTGACCTTCAGTGAGTGGCATTCCTATCCTCCGTGACCTTAGCTGGGCCAGGACCATAACAGAGCATAACAGAGATTCCTTTTGGTTTATAGGTTCCTGGGCCACCAGGGCCAGAGGGGCCTCCAGGACCTCCGGTAAGTGTCAACGACTTGGTAGTATTTCAGCCATTGTGGTTGGCCCTACGGTATCCCCTTTCTTGGCAGTCACTGGGCTCAACCTCAGCCTTGGATCCTCCCCCAGAAGAGCTTTTTCACTTCCACAAACCCCCCTCATCCCTCCTCCCTTTTGTCTTAAACATGCTATCCCAGAGACACACAGCAGGGAGCCCAGGTACTGCCTGGTTGGCTGATATGGAAGCCACAGGCTTGCTCAGTCATTGCTCTGCCCAGCATTTGTTTAACCCTTTTCTATCAGATGTCTGCTTTTGTCCTTTCCTCCTTCCAGTTAGCAAGAGGATGATGTTTTTTTAGGGAAGTGACCCATTAAAAGCAGTCTAGTTGGTTGCAAACAGAGGGTCCCCAAGCACCTCAAATGATCAGATTATTAGTCTGTGCCTCTTCATGTTCTCTGATGCCCCTTACATTCTGGGTCATCCATTGTATCGGCAACAATGCTGGTAGTTGCCACCATTTAATGGAAGTCCCTATGTCCCACATACTAAGGGTGTGGCATATTTTGATTCACTCCGTTTGCACTGCTGCCTCCTCCGAACTTCATGAGACTCCCAGTCAGCTGTGGGAGGTCACAGAGAGATTTTGGGTCAGCCCCTGGCTGGACAGATTGTTCTGACTCCACCCCAGGAAGCCCTATGTTTAAACGGCCTTCACATTCCCTTCTGCCTCTCAAGATCTGGGACCTGAGACTATACACCTCCAACCCTCTGTGGTCACCTCCACATGCAGTTCTAATGCCTCTTGTTCTGATCCCAAATGCAGGGCCTCCAAGGTGTTCCTGGACCAAAGGTAAGAAAGGGTCATGTGACAGATGCTATGGGTGGGACGTGCTTCTGAGTCCTAACTGATCCTCCTCCCTAAATGGCATCACCCAATAGGCACAGCCAGGCCATCAGGGCAGAATGGAGTCCTATAGTCCCTCTAAAGTCCACCACTGACACCTGGCCTGCTTTGGGATGTGAATTTCCCCATCTACCCCTTGAGCTCCGTGGAGTGACTTGTTTGCAAATGACCAAACTCTTGCCCTTCTCTCTCCAGACCCTTCCCTCAACCTAAAGTATGGCAAGACTGCCACTCCTAGCCTCCAGGACCCTAGGGCACAAGGCTGGGCTGTCTCAGGCAGACACCTTCATTATTTCCTTCCTTCTCCTTTTCCTGCAGGGAGAAGCAGGCCTAGATGGCTCCAAAGGAGAGAAGGGTTCCCAGGGAGAAAAAGGAGACCGGGGGCCTCTGGGATTGCCTGTAAGTACCTGGGAGCCCTAAGTCTTCTTGGAGGAGCTGCCCTTGGTAGCCCTCCCCCAGGCTTTACCGCTGGGCCAGGACCAGGGAGGACACTGCTCTGCCTCTGCCTCTAAAGTTCTGAGTGACCCAGTGTGCCGGGCTCCCCTCTTCATAGTGGGGAAGGAACGCAGGCCTTAGCATCTGTCTCCGGCCTAGTCTTGATACTGGAACAATGTGAAGCTGAGGTAGGGTCCACACCTGAGGAACAGCCTGATGGGGAACCAGAAAGGCTTGAGCTCAGCCTCAGGACCTGCTGGGGCCTGACTTGAAGCCATAAAGGTGTGTCCTGAGGGGGTAAGCATGTAAGACGTGGGGCACTATGGCAATGGCTAGTCTCCCTCCTCCCATCTCCCCCAAAGGAGACCCCAGCTCACTGCTTTTGTATACTAGTCACAGCACACAGGCTTGTATGAAGTCAGCTCTGTGGTCCCAGCAGGCTAAGGCTGCCCCCACCGCCTGTGCTCTCAGCCTTCCAGAGCTGGAGAACACCCTCATCCGCCTCTGAGGATGGCCTCTAGGATTCTGTTTGTCTAGAGGTATAGGACAGACTGCGTTAGTCTCTGTCCCACCCTCCCAGTGGCGTGGTGGCTCTTCATATGCATCTCTGAATCTGCTTTTCAAAAGCTAAAAGAGACTTGAGCAAACCATCTTGTCATTGTACTGATGGTCACTTGAGGTCACAGATGAAGTTGGTGGCTAGACCGAGCCAAAGGCTGCTCATCCATGGAAGTTACAGGGGTGCTTCCTCTGTCTCCAGCTACCAGCCAGCCCCTCACCCCAGGCAGCTGTAAACAGCAGAGGAACCATGGGAAACCAATGCAGTCATAGCAAACACACAGCAGAGGCCAAAGGGACTATTTCCCTCTAGCTGATGGCAGTGAGCATCGGAAGAGCTAAAGAGCTAATTCATTTGACAGACCACAAGAAAGTGACGGCTTTAGCAGATGCTTGCCCGTTCAGAAGCCGTGTCTGGAATGACTTAAGTACACGGAAGCACCTTCCTGACCTCTTCAGCCACAGATCACCTGCTGCTCACCTTCATAATGCCAACAACCCCAGTGAGCATGAGAGACTTCAGTTAGGGATACCCATGCCAATAACTCAGCAACCCAACAGGTGACGTAAACAAAGACGATGCCAGATGAGTGACAGAGAAGCCTCTCTGCGTTTGTTTCTTAAACAGTTTCTGGTAGAGGCACATGTACAGAGAAAACTTTCCTTAGCTTGAAAAATGCAACAGGAAGCCTGGCGTGATGACTCAGTCAGTCAAGTGCCTGTCTTGCAAGTGTGAGGCCTGTGTTCAGATCCCTAGAACCCGTATTAATCAGTGTGGCTCATGTCTTTAATCCCAGCACTTAGGAGGCAAAGGCAGAGGTGGATCTCTGAGTTCGAGGCCAGCCTGGTCTACGGAGTGAATTCTAGAGCAGTCAGGGCTACACAGCAATCCTGTCTCAAAAAAAAAAAACCCAAAAGAGAAAGAAACTGGGCAGTGGCTGTGTGTGCCAGGGGCCTCCAGCAATGATAAGGCCGCAGCTCCCCGGAAGCTCAGAGCCAGCCAGCCGGGCCTCTGTAGAGAACTTCCAGGCCAATGAGAAACCCTGTCTCAAGCAAAAGAGGGAGGCGCCTAGGAATGACACTGGAGGTTGTCCTCTGACCTTTACAAGTGCTGGGCATGCCCTCACCCATATGCATGTCTCCACGCTCACGCCTGCAGAAAGAAACAACCAGCTTGTTCATAGGATGCAGTTCACAAGAACTGGGGGGGGGCAATAGGGAGTGGCAAGGATTGTGATGCCCTGGAGATCCTACGGCCCTTCCTAGGGAAAATGGTCTTAGCTCAGGTGACATTGGCTTTGGAGGGAGGAGAGCTTAGCACCTTTGAATCTTTCAGCTGGATTTTATAGAGTTGCCCCATGCATATTCTGATCAACAGCATTTATGGCCCTGGAAGGGTGATGCCAGTGTCTCACCAAGGGTCTGATTGCTCTGGCCCATGCCCTCTGACCCAAACCCCTCAAGAGCATCTGCAAATCCCATGGATGACCCAGGCTACTTCTAGACTGCACCTGGGTGTCAGCCGCCATGTGGCAACAGGTAGCAGCCTCTCCAGGCCTGTCCTGCTGGTTTCCCTGCTTCCATTTAGCTCTCCGGGGTGCCCAGACACTGTGGAGGCTGAACATGCCTTGTCTCAGGGCCCCCATTCTTAAGGAGTGCCGCAACTGGGCCAGCATGGAACCTGGATATCTGTATTGTAAACAGAACCCCAGGAAAGACACTTCTGTGCAGCCAGAGTCAGGAACCTCAGCTCTAACTTGGGGTCAAAGTCGGCCCCACAATTGTTGGTCTTAACACTGAGCACAAAGCTTTGCAGCCTCATCCAACTCACCTTTTCCCAGGACCATCTCTGGTCTCTCCCCTCATCTACTCTGAGACTGGGGCTCATTTCTGAGTCTCAGAAGCAATTTTCAAGAACTCCATGCTTGCTGGCCAGTTGTCCCCTCCTGCCAACCCCGGAGGCCACTTCAGAGCCTGGCACTAGCAAAAAGATCTCATCCCCACCAAGTCATTGCTCATTGGTCATCAGGGAGTAATGAGGTCACAGGGCACTGAGGCCGAGTAGTGTCCCACCTTCCAGCCCATTTCCCACAAATTTGTAGCTTCAGACCAATGATCCGGCAGCTGCCTCCAAAGCCTCTGTCCGTAAAAGGACACTTGTTTGAAAGTATGTGAATGGACCAAGTCTGTGTCTAACTGTAAAGTGCCAGAGAAATGTCAGCCATTGTCAGGACCCTCATTTGCAGGCTGCCTCCACCTGCCCAGGTGGAGCAGAACTAAATCTGCTTCTACTCAGGGTTAAAAGCTAGTGCTGGGGCCAGCGAGAGGGTTAAGTGGGTCACATCACTTGCTGTGAGCCTGAAAACAGGAGTTCAGCTTCTGGAATCCACATGGTAGAAGGAGAAAATCCAACTCCCAGAAGTTGTCCTCTGACCTACACAGAGAGAGAGAGAGAGAGAGAGAGAGAGAGAGAGAGAGAGAGAGAGAGAGAGAGAGAGAGAGAGAGAGAGAGAGAGATTGAGATTAGGAGGTGCAAAATGGCCTATCTCTATAGGGGTACAAAAGAAGCTGGGATCACATCCCCTCCCAGGAAACTCTCCAGCCTGCCCTGGAGAGGGAGCGTAGCCCCAGACCCACATGTATGTCCAGGAATGCCTTTCTGTGTCCCCTTACCAGAGCACCCTGGGAAGAGGGGTTCCTGTGGGGTGAAGGGAGAGGGGGGCAAGAGCTGTGGAGGCTCAGAGCACCTGTCCCCAGGGTTCACGCCAGCTCCACAGCCATCCACAGCCCTCAGTGTCTCCGTGTTCTTGTCAGTGTCCATGTAAACACCCCCCTGCCCCCCCAAGCACGCCCCCCCGTTGTGTTTATGGCATTTGTGTCTGTCCAGAGTCACGCTTACTCACCTCTCCCCTCCCCGTTGTCTCCTTTTTCTCTCTCCCACTCCCTCCCGTCCCTTCCTTTTGGTCAAATTGTGCCCTTCGTCCAGGGAGCTTCAGGTTTGGACGGCAGGCCTGGGCCACCGGTGAGTGTCATTTCTCCATCACCCTGCCCCTGCCCCATCTCTGTCCGGCCTATGATCCCTCTTGTCTTTCCTGCTGAGGCTTTGTTCGCTCCCCCACCCCACCCCTGCGGTGATATCGATCATGCTTCGTCTTGTCATAGACACCGGAAAGTCTTCTCTGTGCCTACACCAGAGATGCCCTTTCAGACCCCTTGGCCGCAGTGAGTGTGTACTCAAAGACCCCAGACATGCGAAGCATGGGACAGCAGAAGTCACTCTAGCAACAGTGACCCTGATGCTGAATCCAGCCTGGGAACCCTACCCTGGGGCTTGAGCCGAGATGTGTCCCCAGCAAACACAAGTGTCTTGTGTGTGAGCTTCTCTCTGTGTTGTTGTCATGCTGTGAAATCTGTCCATCTCCTGTCTGCCCGTGAGGGCCCCCCAGTCACGTGTAGTCACCCCACCTGGAGTGCTCGTTGGGGAGCTTAGAAGGGTCAGGATGGGAGTAGCACGTAGGAGCTCAAGGCCAGTCTCAGCTCGGTGTGCGGTGGGTGCGTTTTAACCACGCCTTTCAGAGTGGGCTGTACCCAAGCCATCCTGCAGACACATCAAGGGGTCTGTAAGAGGGCAAGTGTGGGACCTGGGCCCTCCCATCACTCCATTCCTCCTGGTTCCAGAAAAGACTGTCACTCTCCCTTCTGCGGACACACGTCCTGAAGGGCCACAGGAAACACCCCTCTTCTTTACCTACACAGAACACCCTCTGGAGTTGCCAGCATTAGTTCTGGGATCAGGGCATAGGACTTCCCAGTTTGGAAGCCATACCAGGGCAGCCACTTGTAGATGGCTAAGGTCCATCTTAGCCTTCTAAGGTCCATCATCCTATGGTCAGGGCTATAGTTACCTGGCTGGAGTACATGTGGGAGAGAAGAAAACTAGGTGGGTCCTGATGTGGAAGACAGACAGGGGTGTGGGAGAGACCCTGAAGCTTGCGGAGGTAGGAGGATGCCCAGGCGACCCATCGGAGCCTCGTCCTTCCAAACGCCGATTCTGTCTCCTTGTATGAAAGAGCCATGGGGTGTCCTGTCTTGCCGACAGTTGGGAGTCAGGCCCAGCATTTGCACATTTTTCCCAGGAGGCCTCAGAACAGACTCCCTAATTGACCTTTTAGATTTACAGAGGGGAAACCGAAGCCAGGGTCAGCCTGTGGAGCCCTTTCAATACTGTGGAGTCTGTGGGACGCGGAGGCAGAGAACCAGCCTCCAGCCCTACTCTGAGGGGGCCACTACCGTCATCCGCACTCCACTCTCTTCCTCCTCAGGCACAGAGGACACTAAGAACTTCCCCTGGCTCTGTGTTTCCTGTGCAGCTAATCTGCATTCTCCCACATGCTCACGACCCACCTTCCCCGCTACATTCAGAGTACCAGTCAGCGTCCTCCTAGGACCAGCCGCATGACCCACAGTCTGGTCCGAACGGGACACATAAATACTGAGAGGCCAATAGACGGGAGGCTGTGAAATACAAACTTGGTCTAGTTGAAATGTTTGCTGAAGTGCCCCTAGCTCCCTGGGACCCCAAGTTAAGAGAGAACCTGCCCCTACTTCCTGAAGGCCAGTGTGGTTTTGACACCGGAGAGCATTAACTCTCAACTCTTTGCCTGTTCCTCAGGTCTGGAGATCTGTGGGGTCTGCAGATGGTTGGGGGGGGATGCTGGATGACCCTCTCACTCCTGGCCTGCCTCTGAGTGTGTCTCTGCATCAGTCTCTGTGGCATGAAGACCCTCCTGCTGCATGTGGAGCTGTGACAGCAAGGGGGCGCCGGCCCTAAACCCCCACTCTTGGGATGGGGTCACTTCCCTCCCCAGTGCTTGTTGGTGGCAAACCAAGCAGCTGTCCTACTGTTTTCAGCCTTGGCGAGCTTGGCTGTGATGTGAGACGTTTTCATTCCACGAATCTGGCTCTGAGGAGGGGGAGGGAATGCTCCACCAAGACCCTCAAATCCAAAATGGACCGTGGCCCCGTCGAAGGGTCTCCTTGAACAAGCCTGGCTTTGCCAATCCTGAAAACCAGGGCTCAGGCTTTGCACATCTTCAGGTCCTGGGTGGGATTCTCGGGGCTCTCCCCCAGCAACTGGCCCTTTACCTCTCTGTCTTCCACCTTCCCAGGGTACTCCAGGACCAATCGGAGTTCCAGGCCCAGCCGGACCAAAAGGCGAGAGGGTGAGTGCTCAGGGTGGGAGCTTGGGAAACCAGGAAGGAGGGTTACAGCAGGCTTGTTCACCCCTGTGCCTGGGACCCATCCCCTGGGGGCTCAACCCTCAGCCCTTCTCTCCCATTCCTGGTTATCCATCCCTGCAGTAGCCTGGGAAAGAAGAAAACCATTGTGAGGCTGTGAGGAGACAGGGGAGAGAGAAAAGGCTCTCTCCCCGCTGGTACCCTGGCCCCTGTCACAGTTCAGTCTCTCAAGGATGCAGGTCCGTTATCCTCCTGTAGAGAAATGGTATGCGACAGAAGGCCATGTGGGATTTAGAGAGCACCCAGATGACATCAGTAAGTCAGAGAGCCAGAGCATCGGGCAGGGTTCCCACCATTACTGTTGAGTGGCCGTTGCCAAGTCACACCGTATTTGAAGTCCAACCCATCCCTCATAGAATGGGTGTATAAGAGGATGGGAACGACAGGAATCAGCTCAGGTCGGAAGTGGACTCTACTCCTCTTAGCAGTCCAGGTTCCCACACACCCCGGATCCGTCACCCTTAGTGGGCAGACTCCATATCTATCCACTGCGTGGAGAATCTGTGGAGTTCTCTGTCCCCGCCTTCCCAGGAGACACTTGTGGTGGGGAAGTGGGTGGCTTCTACGTAGCCCATGAGCCTCTCTGAGATCCTTGGTCCCCTGGAGAAACCAGGAGAGCCGCTCCAGGATGATGACACGGGCCTCAGAGAGAAAAAGGGAAGCTCTGCCCTTGCTCTGCTATCTGCTCTTCTCCCACCGTCCAGTCTTTCCAGGAAGCAGGCTGTACCCGAGAGACGGAGGAAGGGTCCTTACAGCACGCTCTGCCTCACACACTTCAGCTCTCTTGGGCTCTGGCAAGGCTCCAAAGAGATTTTCCCATGGGGAATTAGAAAGCCGTCATGGAAAGGGAACTGCCACGGCATGGGAGGTTAACGTGGTGTCTTTTTCTCTTTCAGGGCAGCAAAGGAGACCCAGGGATGACAGGACCAATGGGAGCATCAGGGCTTCCTGTGAGTCTCCAGGGATGGGTGGTTTCCCTCTGTCCATCTCTCTCTGCAACTAGAAACAAGATCAAAACAGACCCCAGAGCCTGGAGCCCATGCTTGAGATTGAAAGAGAAGCTGCCTAGAGTTAACTAGGGATGAGCCACAAGTCCCTGTGGGGCATGGCAGGGGACAAGTGCTCATCACAGGGACCATCTCGCATGGGTAACAGCGTGTCTGGAACCTTCCACTTTAGCCCCTGTGCTGTGCAGTAGGGTCCCGAGGTGCCACCACTTCTGCCGCCTAGGATCCAGATCCCCCACAACACAGAAAGGGGGGTGCTAGCCTTGAGGACTAAGCTTGGCTTCCATCTGCAATGCATTTGCCTGTAGCTTTGTTACGGAAGCCAAGTGGCTGTCTCACAGAGCCTGGATTTTGTTTCCCCATCCACCCGAAGTTCATGTGGATACTGACTAAACAGGCGTGTCTGCGCCGGTGGATGCTTAACACTCGTTCCCCTGGGGTGTTCTGCACTTGAAAAGAGGGTCTCCGCAGCTGTGGAGCAAGGGCCTGGCAGGACAGCCATGGAAACATTCATCTCAGAGTACCCCATCCCCACCCCTGACTACAGCATAAAGCCCACCCCCCCCCCCCCATCCCATGAATGATCCTAGAAGAACACAACGTCCAACAGGGACATGGGCTGCAGGGCAAGAAAACCAAGAGTTTTGTCCACGGGTTTGCTCATTTATCCATGTGCCTCTAGGTCAAGTTCCTTGATGCATCTTCTGTAAAGTGGAGGTCGTGAAGCCCATCTCCGCTGAGCTGGGCATCTGCGGCGTTTGCCAAGCCTGAAGGAAGGACCTTATGGCCGTTCCATGTTTTCTCATTAACATGTCTTCGTTTCTCTGATTTAATGCAGGGTTTACACGGACCACCCGGGGACAAAGGAAACCGGGTAAGTCTGAGCCCTCACACTCGGGATCTGGTTACTAATGTCTTCATCATGGGATGGAATGATCAATTGGAGACTCCTGACCTAACAGGACAAATAGTCTTCCTTGATAAATCATCCTAAATTGAAAGGTTTCTAGTGAGGGGCTCCATACCATACACGCAGGAAGCCTGGGGGCCTAATACTGCGGTTGAAGCCAGTATTTCTCCTCATTTCCAGAGAAGACTAAATGAATCCCACAGCAACCATCACATTAGCATGGCCATCCAGTAACAGGAGCCTCGCATCCAACCCTCTTTATGTTGCCCTGATAACTGGCCCCTTAGTGGTATTTTTAGATCCATCGTCACCTCATCTTTGCCTCCTGAAACTTAGATTTGCCAAGCATTCCAGTCCACTGGTGACCAAGAAAGTAAATTCCAGCTCCGAGAACAGACAGCCAAGCCCTTGAAAAAAAAAAAGAAAGAAAGAAAGTATCCCAGCTGCAATTTCTCTTGGAGACTTGGCAGGGAATGGAATAAACTGCACCCTCCAAACCCCCTCCCTCCCCTTGGCTCCTGCTGTCTTCAGCAGGATGCATTAAGTGTCCCTAGCACTATAGGCATATAATGGTCATAACCTTGGGCATTTGGACACAGCAGCAATAATCTAACTACACCTATCCAAGAGATAGCCCTCTCTATCACCTCCTCCAGTGCCCATCTGTGTGCAGTGTGCACGCGGGCACACACACACACACACACACACACACACACACACACACACACACACACCGAGGACCAAGGCAGCTTCCGGCAGGCTGTAAAGCTCATGGACCTTACATGGCAAGGAATGGGATGAACACGCAAAGAACCACTGTCCAGAACACTGAAATATGTTGACTTGAATCATCGCCCCCCCCATCCCTCCCCCACCCTTACCCCCGAGACAGAGGCAGAGCATGTGGATTCTAGAACCCGGCTGATCTTTGACCACTGATCTTATCTTCAGGAATAGAACGTGTCAGAATCCATCTGGCCCCAGTTAAATCCATCCTCCTTGATTTAAGAAGCACTTACTGGGCACTTCTAAACCCCTAAAGTCTCCTTACTGGCAGCCAAAGCACAAAAACAACTCAACTTGTTCCCAAACACCTATGAACAAGTGAGAGGAGGCAGAGCCACCCCTACCAAACTGTCTATGACAAGACCACATGGAAATCCACTGCAACAAACTGACCCACTTAGAGCCTTGTGGCTGGTCTCTGAGTCTCCAGAAAACCTGATCATTCCATTTCTTCATTGGCGTCCAAACCTTCCTAACTCATTTCTAATGTGTCCTGGTTTTCTTTATTACACTCAATTAACATTTTTCAAGCCTATTTCTTAAGACTTTTTCCGTTGGCTGGAGGCACTGAGTCGCTTAAAGTGAAGGTAATGTTTCTGCTGTAGCGGAGAGTCAGGACCAGTGAGGTACCCGTGTCACAGATGGGGAATGATGAGAAAACGGACCAGTCTCTGGTGTCCCTGGTGCTAAACCATCATCTGTGGAAGCCCTAGAAACTGCGGGGAGAAATCTTCCTTCTCTATTTCTCCTTGCCACTCTTTGGTAGCCTTCCCCATCCTGTATATACATTAGAATATGTCTCTTCATTGAAGTCATAGTCAGCGGGTGGGGTGTGGCTCAGTTAGTAGAATTGTTCACTTAAAGCCCTGGGTTCCAGTTTAACTCTGTGTAAAGCTTGACAGGTGGCACACAGCTGTAATCTCAGCACCCAGGAGACACAAGGCGGGAGGATCCAGAAGTCAGGCTGACTCTGGCTATAAACCCTCCAAGAAAAAGAAAGTCATGTTCAGGGGACCTGGAGAGATGTCTCAGACTTTAAGAGCATTGACTGCCCTTCCAGAAGTCCTGAGTTCAATTCCCAGCACCTACATGGTGACTCACAACCATCTGTAATGAGATCTGGTGCTGCCCTGGTGTACAGACAGAACACTGTATACATGATAAATAAATAAATATTTGAAGGAAGGAAAGAAGAAAGAAAGAAAAAGAAAAGGGAGGGAAAGAAAGAAGGAAAGAAAGAAAGAAAGAAAGAAAGAAAGAAAGAAAGAAAGAAAGAAAGAAAGAGAAAGAGTAAGACTGTCAGTCATGTTCAGAGAGCAATGTGGTACATCCCCAAGCAAGTTCTTCAGGATAGGATTTGTCGGTAGTTTTGGAGTCACTCTCTAGACCAGGCTGGCCTCAAACTCATAGAGATCTGCCCACCCCTGCCTCCCAAGTGCTGGGATTAAAGGCTCACACTACCATGGCCCAACTTCCAAGCAGCAGGTTCCAAATCAAGGAACAACTAATGTTTCTCACCCAAGAGAATCATATTTTGGGATGCTAAATGTTCAAAAAAAGGATATGCTGAAGCTCGAAGCTTGCTATCTCAATCAGCCTCTGAGCCACCAGCCCTAATGGGGCCTACAGGGAGACATAGGATATTGACACTTTGATCCAGGTGACATGTCAGAGGCTAAGGCGAGGTTCTGGTTCAAACTGTCATTGTTGCTCCCTGGGAAGGTGACTCTGGTGATACTCAGTGTTAGCCTGAGTTTGGGAGAGTAGCTCTCACAGGCATCCCTCAAAGTATACCCTCTTCAAACCTCAAACCTTGCCATCCTCACACCTGAGGAACCACTGGAACTCTATTCCACCTCACCTAAACCAAGACACAACCCTAAAATCATACTGTTGGGCTGGCAACATGGCCTCACAGGCAAAGGGGCTTGCCACCAACCCTGACAGCCTGAGGTCGGTTCCCATGTGGTAGAAGAAAAGAACTGACTCCCACATGTTGTGGATGCGCGCACACACACACACACACACACACACACACACACACACCTCTGTTACAAGTCTTGCCCAAAAATGGTCCCACTCCTCTTTCCTGTTCATGGAATGAGGAAGGTCCTTACAGTGATGGGTGAAGACCCTGAATCCAAAGCAGGAAGCTTGCTAAGGACCCGCAAGGCCATTGAAAGGGCCCTCTGCTCTTGTCTCTGCAGGTACCCTTCTCCCACCCATGCCCCATTTGCCTCTAAGTGACTCAGTGAATTTGGCCCACGATTCAGGTTTACAACAGAAACACTGGTCAAACAAAGGCAGACATGGTGCCTCAGGCCTATAATTCCAAGTCTGGGAGGCAGGGGCTGAGGACCAGGAGTTCATACAATCTTCCTCAACTCCACATCAAGTGTGAGGCTAGTCTTACTTAGAGAAGAACACAAATGGAAACAATAGCAAAAAGGGGGTCAAAGAGGAAGGGTAGCATTACTCTGGCAATGTAGTTTTCAGGACATTGGCTGAATGGTTGTTACCATAGAGCTGCCTGCAAGCCGGCCAGCGGAAAAGGTCCAAGCAAGCATGCCGCTGTGCAGGCCTGGGGATTGGGGCATGTCTAGGGCATGTGTGCACGTCTCATTTCCTGGGTCCTTGTGTCCCCTCCTCCTTCAGTCTTTCTGGCCTGGCCCAGCCTCCTCCTCCTTTTATTCCTCTGTCTTTCCCACAATAATGTGCACCCCACTGAAACCCCACACCTCTCATCCCGCCCCCTCCTGGTTTGTGTCTCCTGAAGTCAGTTTTCCACGTTTAGCAGGAATATTTAAGGGACCTCGGTGGGTCACCATCTGCTCCTCCCTTCTTACCAGTTGGAGCTGGGGGTGGGGGCACCTCTTGTATGTCCCATTCTGGAGTGGGCAGTAGGGGACATGTAGGTAAAAGCAGTAGCTCCAGAATCCTCCAAAACACCTGATGTGGGTGATAACCCCATAGTGTGGGCGGCCCACACACTGACCTGTAGGCAAACCTTCTAAAACCTGGAACCAACCTTTCAGCAACCCTGTCCATATCCTCCTTTGGGAAACTGTACTCATGACTCATAGAACAAGGGCTGTGCCCCTAAGGACATTTCCCTGTGTCTTCCATTCCAAACAACTGGTGGCTTGGCTTGTCCACCCTGAGGGAACCCTCATGCCAGGAACTTTTCATTGGCCCAAGGGACTTCACTGCATATGCACACCTGTCCTCTTCAATCTGAAATCATTCTGAAAAGCCATTCAGAGTAGTGTGTGGACAAGTTACAGACCCCCTCTGAAATCAAAATATGGGATCATGTTGAGAGATCTGGGGAAACATCAGAACTATGCTAACCTGGACTGTCTTAAGAAGCTTGACACAGATCAGCCTACAACGGCACTTGTTCCCTCACTAGGTTGTAGGAGACTGTCATCATCATGGGTGGCAGACGCCACCTTCTCTTACTGAGTAATACAGACTCCCACCAGGGAGCACTTCTTTGTACCCAGGTCACACATACTAGTTTTGGAAGCGAGTGTAATAGACCCATTTTACAAATGAAAACAAAACTGAAGCTCAGAGGAGTTAAAGTTAGTAACTGTGCCTTTGGTCTTGCCACAATGGAGCAGCAATATCTAAGTCTCCAGGCATGAGATAACACATCTTCTACAGAGGAAAGTGTCCCGGAAGGCTCCTCGGGGACATACCTGGCCCGTTTTAAAGGACTGAGACATAAGAAAATTTAGGTGCAAGTTCATTTCCGTGACTTTTAAGAGGAGTGCCCCAAAGCCCATCTTTAGATGGTCACTGAGACATATAAATAGGGTTCAGTTAGGAGGAGGATTGCAGAAGCTATTCAGAAAGGAATGAACTCCGTGAGCCAGCTGTAAAAACGGGTGCCACAGTCTACTTGTGGAGGTCAGAAAACAACCTGTGGGAGTCTCTTCTCTCCTACCGTGTGAGGAGTGAACTCAGGTTTTCAGGCTAAGTGGCAGGCACCTTTACCTGCTGGGCATCATGACAGCCCAGCGGTACAGTCTTAAGTAGTGACAATGAGGGACAAGAATAAACCAGAGAGACACATCAGAAGGGAGGATCAACCTGAGAATGTACACATGACAAAGTGTACGCACACACATGTACTGTCCTGCACACGTGTGTACGGGTTGCAGTCACGCACGCATGTGCACGTGATGCCAGGACTCTCAACAAAGTCACCTTGCCTCCCAAGGGAACAGCAAAGGGGTGAGAACTAATTGGGACAAGAGGGTCTAGAGAGGTGGCTCAGTGTTAAGAGTGTACACTGCTCTTACAGAGGACCCCAGTTCGGTTCCCAGCACCCACAGGGGACAGATCACAACCACCTGTCCCCCCAGTTCCAGGAGGCTCTGACACCGCTGGCTTCTGTGGACACCTGCACTGAAGTGCACACACATACACACCCCTGTTTGAAAAGAAAGCAAACCCTAACTGTACCAAAAGGTTGTCAGCCCAGAGCCCTTCAAGACTAAACCCTTAAAGAGATAGAAGGTGCCCCCCACCCATCATCCTTGGCTGGGCTTCAGCAAAATTGGGTACCACTGTCTCTGGCGGATTCTTCCCCTTCAGCTCAGAGATGCCCCTGCTCCCACCTCTCTTTCCTCCCTCCCTTACCCTCCCTCCTTTGCCAAATCTTAGAGTTGGGAGGTTGGGTATGCCCCATAATCCTACCAAGATGCTAACTTCATTAAGAAAAGCTACTTTTCCCTCTGTCCTTTTATGTATCGTTGTCTGTCTCTAACACGTGAATGATCCTAAAGTTTTGATGATGTGCTATTGGTTTTTTTCCCCCTTACCTTGTACTAAACCATTGCTTACAGGGGGAGAGGGGGAAGAAAGGCTCTAGAGGGCCTAAAGGGGATAAAGGGGACCAAGGAGCACCTGGACTAGACGCACCCTGCCCGCTGGTATGTCTTTGTTTCTCGTTTGCATGGTTCTGCGTTTTTTTTTCCCCACAGGGTTGTGGGTTGGGAACAAAGGAAGCAAATTCACTGAGAAGGAGCAGGGCTCCACAGATGCCACCAAGCCTGCCTGGGCCTTGGCAGGCCTGCCTGCGGAGGGTGGGCCTCAGAGCCACAGCTGCAAGCCATTCTGCTAAGTCCCTTGCCTTTGAGTCGCTCTCCTTTGAAGATTCAGAACAATGGATGGATGGATGGAAGGACAGAACCCGCAGAGTTTGGGGAGAAGGGCTCCGGCTCTGTCCCCAGCCGAGCTTTGCAAACCCTGGTGGTGTTTATGGCACAAGATTTGCATCCTTTGTGTCATGACCACCTCTGTGGCTTGCAGCTCTAGCTGTCTTGAGAACTCAGTCTATCAGGATGCAGGACCCCAGAGTTAGTCTCCTGAGGGCCATTGAGAGTCCCTGCTGGGCAGAACAGGGGCTTTTCAGGCACTGCCCAGTAGCCCAGATAAGATTTGGAAAACTGCAAGCCAAAATGGGTAGATAGCCCCAAGCAGCCTTCCCAACAAGCCAGCAATTAATGATTGTGGTTCATCAGCCTGGCTACTCAAGTGGCCACTTTTCAAAGCTCTGGAAGGTTCTAAAAGCCCCACTGCTCTCAAGCGGGAGATTGTGATTGCACCATGTAGGGATCTCGGTGCAGAAGAGACTGCTGTGTTCCATGGCTCCACTTCCCCATTATACAGGTGTCTGCGTCTAGCAGGGCCTGCATCCTGGCCAGGGTAGGACTGGGCCTTTCTGCTGCCCAGTTGGAGGTGGCTGACTTGGACCGCAGTAATCATCATGGTTGATTTTGTGAACAGGGCCACCGAGGTTTTAAAGGAGAGAAAGGGGAGCCGGGGCTACCAGGGCTGGACGGACTGGATGCCCCATGCCCACTGGTATGGCGTTTCCCTCCCTTGCCTGCGTGGCCAATTTGGGCTACCCCGCGTGTGTGGTGTGTACCGTGTGCCTTCTGATCCCCTTCCTCTGCTCTCCCAGCTCCTGCTTACTGCTTCTTCACTCTGTAGACACCAAGGGTCATGTCGCCTAAAGCTTTGGAGACTCCCAACCGTGTCACCCTCTTGCATGTGACTCGAACAGGTGTTTTCTCAGCTTTCTCATGCAATGAAGCATCACACACACACACACACACACACACACACACACACACACACACACTTCAACATCAAGCAGCTCCCTGCAAAGCCATTCTTGGCTGCATCTAATCCTTATTGCCTGGTTGCATCTAGACCATTGTGGAAGCTAGGGAAGCAAATTCATTGGGCAGGATATTTCTTTTCTCTTATTGGCATTTTTCGAGACAGGGTTTCTCTGTGTAGCTTTGGAGTCTGTCCTGGAACTCGTTCTGTATCCAGACTGGTCTTGAACTCACAGAGATCCACCTGCTTCTGCCTCCCGAATGCTGGGATTAAAGGCTTTCAACACCACCACCAGGCCATTGGACAGGATTTTAGCAGATAATTTTGCCTCCACACAGTGCACTTAGCCATAAAAACACAAGCTGAGCAAACCAGCAAAACACAGAGAGAGCTGCCAGTCACCCCGCCAACCAAGCCCAGACGCAAACCCGCCCCTTCCCCAGTTTGACAAGGGACATGGGGCATGCCTCCAGACAGAGACATTCTGTCAGGTGGAGGTAGGGGTCACCCTGCCCATTCTTCCAGACTGGGTCCTGGCCCAGGTGACAGCATCAGAACTAGAGTAAGGTCGAGGATCAGAAGGCCCTCCTTTGGTGTCTCTGTCCTTTTCTTTAGGTATTTCACTAGGAAAAGAAGTAGAAAGGTCTAGAGTGTAGTTAGGAGACATGTAACGGCCGTGTACCCCTCAATATGTCTAGAGCTGAAACTCAGGAGCTGGCTTCTCTCAGGCCCAGTCTTGCTCCAGACGGTAACTTCCCAAGCATCTGCATGACCTTCTTAACTAACTGTGAAGGAACCGGAAGGCAACTTCTGACCCTGCAGGCACTGGTCTAGGCGTTCTGGCTTGCCTTCCATTTCCCCAGGGGATTCCGAAGCTTCCGTGGCCCGCAGAATTCCCTGCCTCAGATTCCCACCTCGTCATTCATGGATCCTCCTTGAATGAAAAATGGCATTAGAAAGCATGGATGACCATGGAGTTCCCTGAATGCCACTGGGGATGTTTTAGAACACAAATGCAAAGCCAGCCGGCACAGGTCAAGCACACAGACTAGCAAGCCTCCTCCAACACGACTGACCCCGCCCCCATCCCTAGCATGCAGCATGCATGGGTGCCTTTCTCAAGCATGACTTCCAAAGCCCTTCCGTTAATTAACACCAGGTCTTTCCTAGGCCACAGTCACACACGCACACACATGCACACATGCACGCACGCACACCTGAACATTCTGTTCTGCAAAGGCACCTTGGCCTTCCCACTCTCTGCCTGCTCCTCCAGCGTGCCCTGCCACCATCCATGTCCAGACGGAAATGCCACTGTGGCCCTCAAAAGCGCCACTCCTTTCCAGAGTGTGTGTGTGGTGTGCCGCACTGTGGCAGTGGGGTGACTTGGCGTGGCATGATAGACTGCAAAGGGGACAGGGGGGCGCTGTGAAACTAATGCATCGCTCCTGCAAGTCCTCTTCCAAGCCCAGAGGAGAAGTATTTTTTGACCATTCAAAATGATGTACTTTCCAAAAACATCCCATAATGATGCATCCTTTGTCTTGGAGTGGCAGGAATGGGGTACAGGGGCTATTGACTTGACTCTAATGCATGTTGGGTTTCTTTGGGCTGGGGCAGTACCTGCAGCATGCACAATGATTTGGGGGTTCCCTGCTGAGGTGGGTAGAGGAGACCCTAGGGACTGCAATACTAGGATCGGATTGGGCTGCCCTTCCGATAGACCTAGACTGTGACCCCAAGCCCTGCTCTTGGTTCCACCTGGCCCTCCCCCCCCCCGCCTGACCTTTGGAAGATTCCAGGACTGCTTCAGGGTGTGCCAGGGAGGCCCAAGAAGACTTGTGAAGGTTCCCTCGCGTGGGCACGGCATCCTGCAGCTGCTTCCTAGCCTCAGACAGTGCAGTCCCTTCCTATCGCAATGCTCCATCTCCCTCAAGATTCGAGTGTCTGAGGCAGGGCCAAAAAGACCTCTCAAGATCCTGTTGCAATCTTCCTGAGGCTGCCTGTCCCTTCCACTCTGTCCCCACCCAGTAGTCACCATTATCTGAGACTGTTTGGATGACACCTCCCATTGCTTAGGAAGAGAAACAAACTCAGGCAGGTTGGGTGCCACAGCACACCGTTCCCTTGACAGGCTTGTAGAGGAAGACCAGGAGGCCCAAGTGCCCAGTGACCTGCGTTCTCAGCACTCTACAAACTCAGAGAAAAGATGGTCCTCTGTGTTACTCAAGGACATCTGTGCAGGCTGAGCCCACAGGCCACAGAAGTCCCTGTTACAGTGTGCCACACTGTGGCAGTGGGGTGATTTGCTGTGGCATGATAGAAAACCCAGAGACAGACATTGGGGTTAAAGATCAGAGAAGCAAAGCACCAGCCACTAGAAAGTTCTCACCTCTACCAATGCTCAGACTGAAGGGGCAATCCGCTGAACCTCAGACTGCATAGACTGCACTGCTCTCCACCAAGCCTCAGAATCCTAAACTGCCTCTGAGACTGCACTGAGATTCTTATATACTCTCTAGTGCTGAGATTAAAGGTGTGAGCTCTGTTTCTCTTTTAGACTGTGTAGGCCAAGGTGGCCTTGAGCTCAGAGAGATCCTGGAATTAAAGGTGTGTGCCACCACCGTCAGCTTCTATGGCTGTGGCTAGCTTTGCATTCTGATCTTCGGTGGCTTTATTAGGTCATAAACAATATATCACAACAGGTCACTCTTAGCCTTGTGCTGTAGCTACACTTGGCATTAGCCAAAGGGAAAACGATGACAACTGCATGCTTCCACCCACTTCTAAGATGCTGACCCAGAGCAAGAAAGGAAGGGGAAGGAAGCAGACAACAGTGGGTGGGCCACGCCCTGGCTAGGCTATGGAAATGTTGGTGTCATTGTCACCTGTCTCCTCAGCTAACTATCTCAAGAGTCTTAAGTATTCTCCACCTCCTCGCAGGGAGAAGATGGCTTACCAGTCCAAGGCTGCTGGAACAAGGTAAGATTCCCAGAAGCCCTTGCAGCTCAGGGTCAAAGGTACAGCCCTTTCCAACAGTGCCATCAAGCTGGCAGTTTGCCATCTTGCTTTTCTGCAGATGTGGGTCAAAAAAAGGTGCTACCTCACCAGAGGTTGTCAGAGGACAGGGGTGCCCGCCCACTAAACACCCACTCACTGCACACACCTGGAGAGCACTTGGAGACATTGTAAGGGGCCAGACTTGTTGATAAGAATGTTTGCTTAGCATGCACAAAGCCCTGCATAAATCCTGCATGGGGGTACGTGTGTGTAATCTCAGCATCCACTCACCTCGGAGGTGGGAGTGTCCCGAATACCGAGTCATTCTAATCCTCAAGGCCAGCCCTCTCTGCCCCAGCTCCCAAGTCACAGGACACCCCAGCCTAAGGGCAAGGTCTGCAGCAGGTAGATAGTCATCTCCCTGCAGCTCACCCCCCCCTCAGCATCTTCTCACTGCCCCCCCCATCATCTAAAGCTACCAGTATGTCCTCATAGTAGGGTTCAGGAACCCACACTCGCCAGAGTTTAGGCTTAGTCCAGCCCTGTGCCTGTAACTCAGAATTGTACAATGAGATCGCTCAGCACCCCAAAATCTCATTGATGCCCAGGAGTGAAAAACATAGGTAGACAAACCAGGCATCAGACCTAGACTGAACTCATGGGTACCTAAAGAGCTTACAAGCTTCATAGAAAGGAGAAGCACTGAGGGGGCGGTGCCTCCCCCCACACCCCCAGAATCTGCACTTTTCTCAGAGCCTCATCCAGGAGCTGTCAGAGGACCTTCCTGCGTCCCCCAAAGATTCTCCTTCATGGTTGTTGCTGGTGGGCAGAATATGGAATGTGTTGCCCTTAGCAAGGAACCACAGCTGCTGTCCAGAGCTATAGCATGTTGGGGAATCAACTAAAGAAGCACAGGTCTGCTGGTTCATTCCAGAAGTGACTCTCTGGGCAGATGGAGTGCAGAGCATGGTTTCCAAAACAGCATAGAGAGACTGCCCTCTAGTGGCCATACCGGGAGTAGCATCAAGGTGAAAGTTGGGTTTCCCATTCTAGGGTGGGAGTGTCCAGATAAGGATCTTCCCTCTAGGGGGTTTAAGGTTTTACACGTCCCTATCACAGGTTCTGATGCAATCTAAGACAAATCCATCTCTTTTGGCCCTGGGGAGTCAGCATTCAGGCGCCCTGAAACTAACTCTCCGTTGTTCTGGTTTTGTTTTGCAGTGACGCCTCTAACCTTGGATTGGCCTGTGTGTGTTTGTACATAGGATATTTATTTTTATACAGTTTTCACTTTTTGAAAATGCCCAAAGTATGGTGCATCTTGCAGATCATTAAAAAAGAGAAAAGAGGAAAGCCTGCATATTTTGTACAGAAAATAACCCCTTTCCCTTTTGTTTACAAGACATTTTTGTATAAATCTGTTTCTAATACACTGTCTGTGAGTCTGCTCTTAATGTTGCATGATATTTGTGCACACTTATTAAACATCACAACTTAGTAAATTATTGTGTCCCAGTGCCAAGGGGAGCCTGCCAGCGCAGAGGTGTGGCAAGCTTTGTGGGAACTCTCGGAAATGTGGAGATGCTCGCCAGACTAGATGTGTCTGACAATACTTTAAACCCTAAGTGACTTTCATTATTAAAAAGAAAAAAAGTTAAAAGTGCCAAGCTATGATCCTGATTAATCGCTAAATTAAATCCATCCTGTCTTGTGCAAGCAGGAAGTCTCAGAAGCAGGAGCCCTCAGAAGTGTTGGAGCAATGTTGGGAAATGTTAGCTTCAACAAAAGGAGGGTGGGGACTCCTTTAGATGTTCCTTACATCACACCCCAAATTCATCACATGAGCATTGAGGGTTCAGCAACACCGACGGCCCACAGGGCTGCAAAGGAGATTTAAGTATTGCTTCAGGGTTTGGTAGGGCGTTTCTTTTAGTTTGTTTGCTCTCTGTATCAGTTACTATTTCTGTTGCTGTGATAAAATATCATAACCAGAAGCAACCTAGAGCAGCTAAGGGTTGTTTTTGGGCCACAGTTCAGAGGGGTAGAGTCTATCAGAGGGGTAGAAGGCATGGAACAAGAGCAGGAAGCTGGCTGTTCACATCTTATCCGTACACAGGAACGGGAGAAGGAGAACAGGAAGTGGGGCCAGGCTATAAAACCCCCAAAGCCCACCCCCAGGGAGGGACTTCCCTCAGCAAAGCTCCACCCCCTAAACACTCAATTAGCCTCTCCAAACAGCACCACCAACTGGAGTCTAAGGGTTCTGGTCTCATTTCTCATTCAAACTTCTGTAGCCCCTTTTGAGGTACTGCCACTAGTAATGGCTACTGCAGAGCACTAGGGTAACTTTATGGAAATCTGCAGATCCAAGTGCAGCCGGCTGAAGGAGGGAGTTTTGCCTCATGAGCCAATTTACTCCACCACCACTCCCACTAGAGTTCAGCTACATGTGACAAACCTCAAGTTGCGTTATTTTGTAGGAAAAAAAGAGTTGCTGTGGGGCTGGAGAGTTGGCTCCATGGCTCAGAGCACTGGCTGCACTTGCAGAGGACCAGGGTTTGATTCCCAGTGCCCTCAGCACGCACATCCACCTGTAACTCCAGCCCTAAGGGATCCAATGTCCTCTTCTGACCTCCATGGGCACCAAGCATGCATGTGGTCCACACACATACCTGCAGGCAAAGCATGAGAACACACAAAGTAAAAGAGTGTTTTTGCTGGTTTTTTTTAAAGAAATGAAATTGTTGTGTCAGAAAATTTTGACAGTAACATGCCTACTGTGCAAGACTGAGGACCTGAGTTCAGTCCTCCAAACCCACAAGGAAAAGCTAAGTGTGGGGACACATGCTTGGAATCCCCTGGCCTTGCTAGCCGCCAGCTAGCTTAGCCTAATCGGAAGCCTCAGGCTGAAAAAGACCTTGTCTTAAGAAACAAGGTGGGTGGGTTCTGAGGACCAGTGCCTGACATTGTCTTCTAGTGCAGCTCTTGTTCATACATATACGTGTGTGTGTGTGTGTGTGTGTGTGTGTGTATGCATACCTATACATGCATATATATATATACACACCCATATATATATATGCACACATACATACACATATATACATTACACACACACACACATAGATACACACACAAGAAATAGATCTATGGAGAGACTGAAGCCAAAAGATTGCAAATTTGGGACCAACTCGGACTGCACAGTAAAATCTTGTTTCCAAAAAAAAAAAAAGAGGGGGGAGAAAGTTTTGTTGTATATTATTCCTCCTATCACAGTGTCTGCTTGGTAAAAGTTTCAGGAAACCTCTTTGTTTTTTGATGTTTTTTTCCACTTTCATAGCTGTGTATAATGTGTGTGTGTGTGTGTGCATGTTTGCATGTGTGTGGGTATACATATAGGTACCTGTGCATGCAGGTATGTGGGTGGAGGCTCCAGGTTGATGTCAGGTCATCCCCATCCGTCTTCCATTGTATTCAAAAGGCAGGACCTCTCAGTCAAACCCAGATCTTGCCAATATGTCTAGTTTCAGTAGCTAAATTGCTCTGGGGTGCCTCACGCCCCTGCCTTCTGAGACTGGGAACATTTGTGTGGGATCTGGGGATCTGAGTTCAGGTCCTCATATTTGCTCAGCAAATGCTTTAACCACTAAGCCATCTCCCCAGTGCTCAGGAAACCTCTGTTGATGACTAGGTCAGTATTACTAGGATGTAACAGTGTAGACTGCTGGCCTATTGTTAGGTGTTTAGAGTATCCTTGGGGCTTCTAATGGAACCTTGAAACTGCACAGGATTCTGGGAATTTCAATACCTCCCTTTCCAGAACTATTTCCATTTTACATTTCCTCTATACAGCCACTGTTAATGGGCCCTGCCCCCATACACACACACACACACACACACACACACACACACACACACACACGCTCACTCACTCCATCCTTCACATTCCTATGTGTGAGGTGTGAGGGTGAGTTCATACTCATTAACTGTTATGTGAATGGAACCATGCTGCCCAGACTCTAGTTCTGTATAGGAACCCAGGGCTCACTTGCAACATCCAGTAGGCTAGAAATCAGACCTTTCTTCCTGGGTACCAGCTTCCTCCTGGTACTGACTTCCTCATCTGAAAACTGAAGCTGCTGATTAGAGTGAATCCCAGTGGACATGGATAGCATTTGTCTGCCCCCTCCCTCCCCTCCTTGTGGAGAAGAAGCGTGCAGCCACCCTAGCCAGGCCCAAACCTTGAGTCCTTTCATGATGGCCCCGTGACCCCACCCCAAGCATCTTCCCCATCCTACTCAGTGACAAGAGCTCCAAACACTAATTTCACCGTCTTTACATTCAGAAGCGAAATATAACAAGACTCCAACCAGCAACACATCAGTTTGTCTACCAGCAGCCACAAAATAGGGTGTTCTACATTTTTATGGAGGAAGGAATCCACATAGGCAAAAATGCCTGGCCCTCCAAAGTCACACGGCCTGCCTCAAGTTGGGTTTATTGAAACTGACCCTCACCCTGACTTGGAGGCCCCCTAGCTCCTGGACCAACTTTCCCACTCCTGGTTGAGGCTGTGGAAAGTCAGAATGCTGCCAGGTTCTCCCAAGGCTGCTGGCTAGATGTAGCCACAACTCAGCGATGACATCATCAGAATAAGAGTGAAACCACACACAGGAACACTGCCCCCCCATTAGCACCCAAGACCCACATCAACTGAGTCTTCTGGGGACAGTGGGCAACCTCTCCTGCCCCAAACCTGTGCCATTCGCCCACTTAACAACACCAAGAGAATTCTAGTCGCCCACCGTAATAGAGAATGCTTGGTATGGCACTGGGCCTCAGAGGCTGGGGCCCGAGGATAGAGAATCAGAGGCTATCGTGGGTTCCAGTGAAGCCCGGGCTATAGCTTAATGGTAGAAGATTGCCTGGCACTTGAGAGGCCCAGGGTAGCATCCCCAGCACCACATAAAGAGAAGCAGAAAGACACAGGCAAAGGAAACAACAGTGGCAGGAAACAGGACTGTCACCACTGTTAACTAAGGTGGGGCCCATATATCACTTCAAGCCTAGCTGTGGATACTCCACCATCCTGGCTAGGGGTTCACAGGCCTGTGTACATAAACCCACCATCTTTCCACACCATTGGACCCCTGTGCGCCTCAGCCAGGAACCCCCTTATCTCCCTCAGGGCACTGAGCTGCACCGCAGCCCCCATCCTTACCCTAGCTTCTCCACTGGATCTTAATTGTGCTGAGTGCAGGAAAGGAAGGCTTGAAAGACCCAAGGTACCAGCCCTGACTCAAGAGGATGGGCATGATCAGGACAAGGGTGGGTATGGTTGCAGGGTGCACTGTAGGAGCCCTCAGGAAAAGGTCATTCTGAGCATGGGAAGGTAGCCCAGTTATCCAGTGCTGGCCCAGCATGTGCCAAGCCCTGGGTTCTGTGCCCGGAACTATCTAAACTCAATCTGGTTGGCTGGTGCACACTTGGAATACTTGCACTTGGGAGAGTAAGGCACGAAGTCAGAAATTCTAGGTCATCTTCAGCTCCGAGGTGAGTTTGAGCTTAGCCTGGGCTACATGAGACACGGAAAAAGAAAAGGCAGTACTCAAGATTCTCACTGTATTCTTTGGGGCCAAAGGGCAGCTCCAGCTGCTGCCTGCCCTGTGCTTTTGCCCCGTGGGACATGTTGCCACAGGGGACGTACTGCCCAACTTCATCTGTGTGGAGACTGCAGGCAGCTCAACAGACACGAGTAACGGCCGTCCCCACTCTAGTGACTTAAGCAGAAAGCTGAAAGAAGCCCCACCTTGCTCAGGGAGTGAGTTAGCCCCTTCCCACATACTCCTCCAACCCCATCTATGACTGAGCATGCTCACCACCATTCCCAGCCGCTTGACTTCACAGTGACATGACTTGGTCTATGGACTGGTCCACGGACTGGGCTTTTGGCCCCTTTCTCTAACATTCGCTGTCTGGTCTTGGGAAGCTCCAGGCCATGGTATGTCCAAGTTTCAGATGAGGACGTTAGACTTGGGCTATCTCCAGTGGCCATCTCCCCTTCGTCTCTGATACCCTGAAGCCCTCTGATTCTATGCCCAGATCAGCTCCCTGGATGACTATGGACCCTGGGACGTCCTGTGCTCCCCACTGCCTGGAGTCTTTGGACCACAATAGCATCATGCATGGAGCTGACTTTGCAAGCTTGAGGCATGTGTGTGTGTGTGTGTGTGTGCATAACCCTGGATAAGGAGGGGCCCCAAGTTCTGAGTGCTCGGTGAGGGTCACAGCCAGCTGGGGCTCATGGGTCCTGAGGACAGAGGATGCCATGGAGCAGCAGAGTCGGGAAGGAGAGGCTGAGGTTTGGGGGAAGGATTCACAAAGCAGAGAGGGAGGGGCTAGTGGCTGCCTGAAGGTGGTTCATCTCTCTGGTCCCGCTGGCTAGACTGGTCCATGCTTGGAAGGAGTGTGGATTAAGGAAAGAATTAAACAAGAGACGGAG